CAAGAGAGAGTAAAAATCATTTCGTGGACCCTTCAATGTTTATATATTTCTTGAAACATTAAATATGAGCAGTGGCGTAGCCAGGAATTTTTCAGAGGGGGGGGGGGGCGCTGGGGGGGGGGGGCTGGAACATTTCATGGGGGGGCCTCAAGCAGGGGCGTCAATCGCTTCTCAAAAGTGGGGGGGGGGGGGCATACCTTGATCATAACTGATGCAAGCGCGAACCGCAAAACCCTTACGACGTGGGGTTTGGGGCCCGCTTTAAGGGCCCCGAAAAAAAAAATGGATTCTAGATGTTCTGTGGTGTGATTTGAAGCAATTTCTAACGACTTTCCTCCATGCTTTAACTAATATGTTCTTGGCAAAAGATAATTATTTGAACATCGTTTTCGAGGTTGGAGACATTGAATCAGCTATCGGTATTCTGAGCTATAGGCGTGGGGTTCGGGGCCCGCTTAAGGGCCCCCCAAAAAATTGGATTCTCGATGCTCTGTGGTGTGATCAGAGGCAATTTCTTACCACTTTAACCAATAATTATCTTAGCACAAAAGATAATAATTTAAACATAATTTTCGAGGTTTTCTCAGCTAAAGGCATAAGAAAATGAACATTGTTTTCGAGGTTGGAGTCATTGAATCAGCTACCAGAATTCTGAGCTATAGGCATGGGGTTAAGGGCCCGCTTAAGGGCCCCGAAAAATTTTGGATTCTAAATGCTCTGTGGTGCTATCTGAGGCAATTTCTGACCACTTTAACCAATATTTTCTAAGCAAAAGATACATTGTAGTACATAATAATGCTCATGGCATCATGTAGATCAATGATAATTTTTTTATGAACTCAAAATCTCAGTGGGGTGGGTGTGGGGGGGGGGGGGCGACTAGGTTTCATGGGGGGGACAGTCGCCCCCCCCCACCCATACACCATGCACAAGAGAAGCCGGGTACAGTGAACAAGAATGGGCATATATGTGCGTACACAACTGACAACAACATACAAGTACCGTACATGTATATGCTTGAGGTCAGAGGTACGAGTCCTATGAAAAGGTTTACATGAAAATCGGGGAATTCCCAAGATGAGAAATTGTGTTCATGAGGAAAACAGTTCAACTGTGACGTCACAACGGAAGCTTTGCCAGGAAGTGATGGTGCATGTTAGTACATGTACATAGTACGTGTGCAGAAACGTACAGTAGTGCTGTACAAGTAGGGTGTGGCTGATAATCTGCTGACAGCTAGAGTGCATACAGGAAAAGACTTTCAAACTGTACCTAGAAAACAACTACAATACGTTGTACAGGTAAGTGGATGGCATTACACAAATATAACATGGTTTGAGGGTGGACAGTCGATATTCGTTCCCCTAGGTATTGGAAGTTTTGTCTCGGAAACTAGTTTGTCAACTTCCAATACTGAGGGGAGCTAATATCGACTGTCCACCCGAAATAAACCATGTTATATTTGTTTTACTATACCTCATACATATTCAATTGCCAAATATTCCCCCAGTGCACCTCGCAGGCAAAAAATTGACAAAAACTTGCCTAGCTCACAAGAAAAATAACGCTCATACCTCCAAAACGTTCAGTTCGTTTACAATACAGTAACTACGGTTGTAAATATACTATTGTTCGTGAACAACTTTTCTTTTTATTAGTACAGGAGGCATCTTTATTGTCAAAAATATATTCTCCAATTCGACATCATTGAGCTCCAGAAAACACTAATTATCATTTACGTGTGCAACCATCTTTTCATGTGTAGCTATATTTCACTCGTACCCCCCGCCCTGCAAACAGGGCGCTGGGACACGCTGATGAGCTTCACAGAATCTTGTGAAGGAAGTGGGGATGGCATTCTGGGTAACTTATCATGACCTACTGGTATGTAAAAAGCATCTGGCTGCAGCTTTTAAGACCGCAGTTAGCAAATAAACTGCACGCAAATGCTATCCGAAAACTTTCCCATAGAAATGCACACATTCTATACCGGATGTGATTTGCGGACCATGTGGACATATTTTGAGCGTCGCAGTATATGCAATTCGACCCATCGTGATTTCGATATGGAGCCTGAGCAAGTGACGAGAATGGAAAATTTACAAAACAGAAGCGTTTTACAAATTTTCCTACATTATTACGCTTTTCAATGAAAAAGCATTTATGAATGGGAATAAAAGAGTGATGACTTAGTCTTAACCGCCGTTTAAATTCCTTGCAGGGTCGTGGCCCTGAAGGATTGCAGGTCACAGGTCACGCAAAATCTATCCAATCAGAGCGTAAATTCATCAGCATGTCCCAGCGTTCTGTGCGTATTTAGCCTGTGCGTGAATATGCGTGCGTTTGGTAAACAGCAAAAATAGCACCTGGCACGTGATGTTGCATGGACCAGTAAGATTTCAGCTTTTGGTCATGAATATGTATGAGGTATAGTAATACAGTATGCAGTAAAGAAAATAAAAAAGCACCATGGAACCCCCATGGCAATGGGCTCTGTATCCAAGAGAACATTGACTCTCCTTTGATTCATATCTGAACCAGTACTGTTACATGTTTGTATGTGCAGTACATGATGTTGATTTCATCAGCATAAAATAGTTCTTGCATACACTGTTAGTGGAGTACGCCACTAAACATCAGCCACTCTAGGCCAAGTTAACATACATTTAAAGATTTGTTGTCATTCTTATAGAGTACAACTGAGCACTTGAGATGGCAGAGGGGGGTGTGGCCGATAAAGTCTTGGATGAGACTCAGAAGGAACTTCAAGAATGTCCTATCTGTTACACTGAGTACAAGGATCCTAGGATGCTAGACTGCTCACACATCTTCTGCCTGAAATGTCTGCAAGAACTCAGACTGACACAAAATAAGGACGACAAGAATATTGTCTGTCCGTTGTGTCGAAAGGAAACTGGCCTGACTGAAGCTGGCGTGGACATGCTACCTGGAGGATCAAAGTATGTCAATCAACAGGAACAGACTGAAGGTCAGGGGTTAAAAGTCATGTGTCATGCATGTGATGATGAAAATGAAGCCATTTCTCGATGTATGGATTGCAAGCATTATCTCTGTCAAGACTGCCTGAAGGTGCATAATCGATTGGCACCACTGAAGAGTCACAAGATTGTGGCTTTGACAGAGCTACCTGTTGAGTCCCAAGAAATAACAGAGGAAACTGAACTCAAGAAAGTTCCCAAGTGTTTCAAGCATCCAGATCAAGATCTCTGTCTGTATTGTAACTCATGTGAAGTCCTCATATGCAGGGAATGCACAAACATTGATCACAAAGAATCCATGCATTCTCACGTCGGCATCGACCAGGCGGTCAGCAGATGTAAACAAGAAGTACATGAATCCGTATCTAAAACAGAAGAGTGCATTCAACGATTCATTTCTGCAAACCCCTCTTCAGGTCATTCACGTTTCAGACTTGACAAGATGCTGGTAAAAACGTACACTCAAATTTCACAGAAAGCAGAAAAAGAAACTGCCAAAATCAGAGAGAAAGAAAAACAACTGAAAACGGAGGCCAGGGCAATTGCCATTAAACGAGATACAGAATTTGCGTATGCAGAAACGTCTGAGCAGATTGTCGGTAAAGTGAATGAAGTGATGACTACAGCAACGTGCTATGAGATCCTGGAGTCCAAGAAGAAAATGCTGCGGGATTTGAATAAGCAGGTGGAGGTGCATAAGAGTTTGGATATCAAGCATGGGAAGTCATTCCTTGGCTTTCAGGAGAGTGAAGAGGTTGGTCAGCTTGGGACTCTGCTCTTGGAGGAGAAATGGGAGAGAGATGAGGCCTTTTCACAATCTATTTACAATCCCCAACATCTTGCAGCATACTCCACAAGTGAAATGGTTGTGACATGCAGTAATAAACTGGTTACACTGGATTCAGAGGGGAAGGTGATTTCTACAAAGACCTACAAACCTGACCCTGATCAACCAAGCGAACCCCATGACCCTAATGACATACAGAAAGCAACAGCTCTAGCCATCAACAAGGATGATCAACTTCTGATCCTAGACAATCCTGCAGTCAAGATCTTCAACAAGGAATACCAGCTCCTTCATCAGTTCCTACCGGGTAAAGAGGCCGGCATGGACGGCACGCCGACGTGCCTGGCAGTGGATAGCAGCAATCTGATAGCAGTGGGTTACAAGGACAAGGAACAGATATCTCTACACAACCCAGATGGTTCCCTGGTCAGAACACTGCCTGCTCCAAAGATTGATACGCATTTGATCTTCAGCAACAAGCGACTTATTTACACCAACAGCAATGAGGGTTTGCTGATGGCTGTTGACTTACATGGCAACAAACTGTTTACCCAAAGTTGTAGTGATCCTCGTGGGCTGTGTTGTGATGATGCAGGTGATATTTACCTTTTGGCCTCAGATCAAATCTGCCATTTCAGTGCAGATGGCAAGTGCATTGTTTCATGGGACTGTCAGGGTTATTCTGATATCACATACACACATGCACATAAATTAGCAGTTGCAAGTACAGAAAGGTGGACCGGGTACGTTTGTTTTGTGTACATCTACATTTATCACTTGGTTTAAAGATATCAACCAACATGTAATTGTTCAAGCGATCAAAACAAAAGGCAGGGAATAAAAAAAGAAAAAATATACAAAAATGGTATCAAGACATTTTAAATCTTCAAAACATCCATGAAAATTATTGATGCTCCATGCATCCATGGACATGTGCAATGTACAGAAACATTCTGATTGCAACTTCACAAACAGGACAGACTTGAAACACTTTGAGCAGGATATGGGATTGTAAACATGTACATAGGAAGTTTACATGTGTTATATTACATTTAGTATCTTACACATGTACATGTACATCAACCGTAGTCATATGTGCAAATTTATTTGGAGATTGTACAGTTGTACATACTTCCATGTGTTTAAATGGAAGTGGTAATTTGATATTGTAACGGGAATCCGGGGCTCGATATACCCAGGGGTACAACGAATCCCTAAAAACCCGCCGGGATTAATAACCAGGAGAAATCGAGTTTCTTGAAATGTTCCTCGGTGATTGTCTCTGACTTGCAGACAGCGATTGCAAACTCTACAATTGCTCGTTGTCTTAAATCCAACTCTGCACACTCCCAATTGGCAGCAACCTGGTCAGCTTGAGTAGGATTCTTGGAGTAGATCCTGAACAGTGCCGAGTGTGATATAACGCAATACAAGCAGTTATTGAGGGAGCTGGTTGCCACAACAATCATCTCTTTATTTGCTTTAGTGAGGGATCCTGTCTCTTTGGCCATGAGTGCATCATAATACATGAAGAAGGCACGGAATTCATCAGGCCGATGGGCGAGTGCTTTGAAGACATTTGGTACAAAGCCAGACTTCTCTGCTACTTCATTGATGAGATCTTGCATATCTTGTGGGAGTTCATCCTGATTAGGAACAGGATAACGACTGATTGGATACTCTGCTTCACTGCAATACCCTCGGTTTACAATGGTAACAGGCTTTGCAAAGTTTAGGGATACTTCAATTCCTCTTGTTTCTTCGTCTTCTTGCTTATTCCCTCTTGCTTGTTCCTTCTTCTTATTCCGCTTGGTCCCACAGGGCTTGTTCTGGAGGCGAACAGAGCGCTCGATTGCTGCTCCAGCTTGCCTTTTATGCACTTTTGGCAGGGCTGAATCTGGGGCGCAGTGAGCGCGCCCGTTCCAATAGGCTAAAAGTGCGCGTATCGCGTATGGCGTATGCAAAACGAGTCACCAACCCTGATGATGAAATCTCTGCATTAGTTAAGTACATCATTAACCTGTGTGCAAAAGTCAATAACACACAAACAATGGGTGCATTCAATAACACTGTGCACATACGTCAAATGCCTTGAACGTTATAAAACTTGCATAAGTACCTGAAAGAAACAACAGTGTAAAGCAAAGTTAATGGCTTCTTCACATCATTATGGAATTATTCTATAAATACTACGAATATTTGGTAAGTCTAGTAGGTGAATAAAGTTGGATTTGAGGGCAGAAAATGGCCTAAAATCAACAAGTTTCATTTCCATTCTGTCGTACGAGATTCATGTTCAGGAAACCAGACTAGTACGGAAAGATTATTTAAAGAAAAAGCTGATTTTTGTCACAATATATTTTTTTTTAACTTCCCATTACCCAAAATGATAAAATTTGTCCCAAACGGATAACATCACCTCAGAAATATAACAACAAATGTTTTACATGAGGTGTTCTATGTACATTGTAGGTTGAAAAAAACCTTAATATTTCCAATCAGTCTTGAAAAAAAACCGCATGTGTCGCAAGTTCTTCTCTACTTCTACCGCAAGTTCTTCTCTACTTCTACATGTATTGCTTTATTATACAAGTGTAAATACTGATCGTGCAACATTCATTGATAGTTCCAGCTACCAGTACATGTACCATACTCCACCATTTGTCATGAAAACAGGTGGGCAATAGACTGATCCACACACCCGGCCCATGAAGTTTTGACCAATCACAGCCATGATTTATGCCCGACAGGTGTGTACAAATTTGTAATGTGCATGCATTCGCATGTATGACATATGTGCACGTCTGGCACATGTAATACCAGTATTTAAAAAAGGAGAGGTGAACGATTTGTTGCCTACATACATGGTGGGCGGTGCCAAATAGAATGGTCTATTCATCGAGGGCTATCTCCGTGAGACGAAGTATGTACTCCATGTTCTTTTCAATAGATCACTTTTTTTTGTTTAAACAAATAAGACCAGCTTTATTCTTATTGGACATTCAGAAACACAAACTTCAGCAAGATAAACTTCCCAACCAAGCCTCCTTTGTAACTTGGTTCACTGCAGTTTCTATGCACTTTTCTAAAATATTTAGACTGTTTTGTATTATGAATATGAGTAGAGCAGCTAGGACATGAGAGGCGCACATGCTGTTGCCCTTGTGCGCGGTTGGTGGTAAAGGGTGCCGTTTAAACATTGAAACGATAAACATTCTTAATCCATTTACAATTAATTTTCCAAAATGTTTAAATCAAACCCGCATTGTGTATGTTTGCTGTATCTGCCCTCGTATGCATTTCATACACAATAAACAATACTATAGGAAACCTTTAAACCATTTTATTTACAAAGCAAAAGACAGTGCATTATGAATGATCTTCTTTGTAGATCAGTGTCGATGCTGCCCTTTGTTTGCTGTGCACCATAATTATTTAATGTATATTCTTGTGACTAACATGCTTGAGTGCAAACACTGGTGCAGGTGGCATGCAGCCTGTGTGACATGGCTAAAGGTTTAAACGTTTAAATTGGGCTGAAATAGATTTGCTAAACGTTTCCAAAATAAACGCAAATCATGGAGGGCCAGCTCCATAAGATTGTATCGTTATACCTTGGAATGTTCTATACAAACGATTACATTTCTTTTGAAACTACAATGTAGATCAGCTTCATTCTTATTGGAGATTCGAAAACACTAACTTTAACTTCCCACCCAAGCCCTCTTTGTGTCTTGGTTTTGCCCAACATTTAAAATTAAATGCCCCTTTTATCTTAACTTTTATACTGCTTTGTATTATGAGCACATGTATGCATTGGAGCCTTTGGTTTTAGTACTTTGGTCTTGGGTATTTGATCAAGCATTCAATTTGATCAGGCATTTGTAGCCTCAGAATAAAAATTATGGTTCTCCATTTATTTACCCAAACAGTTTGACTAGTTCTCTCCTTCTTGCTGTGGTTTATTTATTTAACCTACATTTCAATGACTGTATAACATTAATTTGCACCACTGAAAACAAACCTTTCATTGACAATGATTACCAAAGACATTGGTTATTGCAGATGAGTTGTGTTTCATCTTGAGTTTTAACCACTATGGATGATTACCCAGACCAGTGCTATGGGCCCATGTAACAGACTGCCTATAACATGCACTGGGCCTCTCTGCGGCCCACGAAAAAATGTGTGGAAAAATCTGATTGGCTTTTCCGCAAAACCTTGCTGAAAAGCCTTTGTTTGTGTATTTTTTTCCTTCATGTTTTTCTTTCCCAAATCCCATAGACTTTCTACACGTTTTTTTTTTTCTCGCTGGCTTAGACATTGACACGGTGTAAATGTTGTTATCGTCGCCGCTATGCCCTTTATTAAATTTTCTTCCCATGGAGTAACTATTTCCCTTATTTAGAGCCCTTATTTACATAATTTGCAAGTCTAATCTGGTCCCCGACCAACCCTGCTTAGGAATCTATGGTATGCCATTACGTAATGTTTTTGCTTGCGCCACCCCGGCGTGCGGGGAATTCAAATCAGTTGCGTTCACGCTCCGGACCAACTCACTTCACTTTTCGGTAGCCAACAATTTGTAAGTATTTTTTACCTGAGTTTATTTTTTACTTCAATTAATATCATGTTTATTTCTGAACATTTTATTCCCTGTTAGCATTTATCTGTATACTATATTACCAGCGCCTGGCTGGATAATCATGGATACGTGTGTTTTAGTTCATGCCGAAATACCTAAGATTCCTTAGAGCCAACGCCCGTATTTTATAGGCCTTCACCCCGGTACATGGAAACAGAAAGTACAGATTTTTGGGGATGCCAATTTATAACATAATTTATATCTGTGAATTATATTTCATTGTGGTATGTTTATTTATTTTCTATTCACATTATTTTGTACAGCACCCCAGAATGCCGCTGTAAATCCCTGAACACCCAACAACTGTTTAACCCATATACCTCACTGTGTGCCGATGGTTCCTTACCCGGGGAACGATTGTTAGTTTAATATCAGTGGGTTTCTTTATTCAAATAATTCATTGGATTAATTGTATTTCATTAAAATGAATTGTTGACTCCTCCGCAACCGAGTATATTGTCGATAAGGTGCTGCCCGTTCACAATTGGTCTAATATTCTCTCTAAACCTATTGATGTAATTGTTTAATCATGTATTTTGCTGTTGATGTGATTGTAATATTTAATATGAATGTTTGTATTTTCCTTTAGTTTTCACCTGCATCAGCGGTATGCAAATAAAATGGGGTCAAGAATTCAAAACAGACTTCCAGTCTTGTTCTTCAGTGGTGCATACAGTGACAAATGCGACGTCCGAATGACATTTTTGCTCATATTTTTGGCAAAATACATTCAAATGATTTAAAAACTTTCGGCAGTAGTGAAACAAAAAATATTATGAAGAGCAACTGCAAGCAAGGTATTCATACTTTTCATAATATGGTCATATGTCACACATTGTTCCCAACACGGTGGAATAACCCATACAGGTTATCCTCATCAACTTTTTATCAATTGTAATACACCGATCCCTCTGCCTACAGTACATGCACAAGAGCAGCCCGGTACAATGTGCAAGTACAGGACAGCTAAGGGCCCAATTACATAGAGCTGCTTAAGCATGCTTAAGCACAAAAAAACTTGTTTTAAATATAATCATGTTCCCGGCCAAAACTCAATGGGATGTACATTGCTTGTGACCGGTATTTAGCTGTTGTTTACTTAGCATAACAATCGCATAGAGTTTCAGTGGGTAACATATTAAGTAACATTTTTTTGTGCTTAAGCAAATTTTGTGCTTAAGCCATGTAAGCGGCATTATGAAATTGGGCCTAGCTTGAGGTCAGAGGTGTCTCATAAAAATCTATTCATAAAAACCTGGGAATTGTGTTCATGAGGAAATAGTTCAACATTTACAGCGACAGCCGTTGCTGTGCACTTGACTGTGGTAGCGAGGCACTATTCAGTAATATTGGACAATGCGTGAACAAAACATACAGTCGTGCTGTTGTAGTATACATGGGCCTACCTGTACAAGAAGGGTGTGGCTGAGTCTGCTGACAGACTGTATGCAGGAAAAAACTTCAAACTGCACCCATAAAACGGCTACATTGTAGGTATGTGGAGGATGAGAAATAATGTTCACGAGGAAACAGTTCAATTGTGACGTCGCAATGAAAGCTGTTACAACTCAGTAAAGTGAACTTGACTGTGGTAGTGAGGCACTATACAACGGGTACAACACGTACAGTACAGCAGTGAGAACTGTTGTAGTACATGTAGCAGTGTATGTAGGGTGTGGCTGATTCTGCTGACAGACTGTATGCATAAAGGGGGACAAGTTTTGAACTCGACCCATAAAACAGCTACATTGTAGGTAAGTGGAGGATGATAATGAAGCTAGCACAGGAGAAATACAGCACCATGGGACCCGAATGGAATAAGCCAATGTAATTAGCTTTTGGGGCCCTGTATCCCATGCAGACAAAATGGATTGTCCTTTGATTCTTTCTGACAGTCCTATCTCTATCTTCAGGCAAACTTAAATTCTTGATCCACAACACTATTCAGTATTGGACAATCCGTGTACACAACATACAGTCGTGCTGTTGTAGTAATAGTAGGGTGTGGCTGATTTTGCTGACAGATTGCATGCAACAAACTAGTTCAAACTGCCCATAAACAGGTCTGTTGAACTTGTAGGTAGGTGGACAATGTTATGGGAATATACAACATTTGCCTTTGCTGTAATTTTCAGAAATGGATAGATTTTGGGGGTTAGTATTTTACAGCAAATATTGTTACACTGACTTGTTTGACGTTTTGGGTTTGTAGATGCTAGAAAAACCAAGAAAAACAATTGTGTTCTTGTAGTCTGGTTCCTTGACGCAACTTAAATTGAAAAGGAGCAATTTATAGACGTCCGGAAATTGTAAGGTCAGGGAACCAGTCTAGAAGGCTTGTACCCGTTCATAGGTGTGTGATCGATTGCAAACAATATTCAGATTAACTAAATATGGTAAATGGGGGGGGGGGCAGTATTTGAAAAAAACAGCCAGCATTTTCAAACGCTGGTTGGCCCACCAGTGTTTAAAATTTATACAAAAATACCACTTTCGTGAAAATGTCAGCACACCAGGTGCAATGATTTTACAGGATTTATTTAGACTGTCATTCGCTAACAGTCCAGTAAGATATTTCAAAATAATTTGGTACTTTTGTTTGTTGATGATTGCAAATGTTGTATATTGTTGTTAATGCAGCAGCACAGGGGAATATAATGAATAACACCATGACAGACTGCATTGTGCTCTCATGTATCCAAGAAGAAGAAATATTGACTGTCATGATGTTCTTTGATTATTTAACTTCATATTGTTATGTGCATGTATGTTTCTGATTTAATCTGCATAAAATTGAAGTGATTTAAACACATATTTACATCTACATGTATACAATTAAACTGTAAGTGAACTACAGTGGAACGCCGCTATACCGAACACCGCTATACCGAACATTCGGCTATACCGAACATCATCCTTGGCTCCCGGTTTTAATGTACAATATCTACCGAGCATTAATTGTTGTTGAAAAAAGTCAATAGCTTAACAAAAAATCTACCGGTTGTACATGTATTAAACACTATTTGGGCCCCTTTTAATTCCCGAACATCAAATGACCCATAGTTACATCGTGTGTGAATGTCGACAAGCGACAGATGGCTATTATTTCCCCAAGGAATAAAATTAAGGGAAAACCACCCGGCCCAAGGAATAAAAGGGACAACCACACATTGCTTAAACGTTTCGTGACGACTCCTCTTGCGGCGGCGGAATGTGAGAAATGCCAGTTCACTATCGGTCAAAAGAGGGTACCAGCAGTTCAAAATCACTATACCGAGCGATCATTATTACGAACACTTTCTGTGGATCCAACAATGTGCGTTATCGTGGCGTTCCACTGTATAATGAACATGAGTCAGTCTATATTTATACAGTATCTTATAGTATGCATAAGTTGAAAGTTCGTTTTTCTTTCCACTCTTATATGGTACATGTAGAGTACAACTGAGCAAGATGGCAGAGGGAGGGGTGACCGATCTAGTCTTGGATGAGTCTCAGAAGGAACTTCAAGAATGTCCTATCTGTTACACTGAGTACAAGGATCCTAGGATGCTAGACTGCTCACACAGCTTCTGCCTGAAATGTCTCCAAGAACTCAGAGTGACACAAAATAAGGACGACAAGAAAATTGTCTGTCCGTTGTGTCGAAAGGAAACTGCCCTGACTGAAGCTGGTGTGGACATGCTTCCTGGAGGATCAAAGGAAGTCAATCAACAGGAGCAGACTGAAGGTCAGGGGTTAAAAGTCATGTGTCAGGCATGTGATGAGGAGAACGAAGCTATTTCTCGATGCATGGATTGCAAGCATTATCTCTGTCAAGAATGCCAGAAGGCACACAATCGAATGGCAGTACTGACAAAGGGTCACAAGGTTGTAGCTTTGACAGAGCTACATGTTGAGTCTCAGGAAATAACAGAGGACACTGAACTCAAGAAAGTTCCCAAGTGTCGCAAGCATACAGATCAAGATCTCTGTCTGTATTGTGACACATGTGATGTCCTCATATGCAATGAATGCACAAACACTGATCACAAAGAATCCATGCATTCTTATGAAGGTATCGACGAGGCATTCAATAAATGTAAACAAGAAGTAACAGAATCCGTGTCTAAAACACAAGAATGCATTCAAAAATTTGTTTCTGCCAACCCCTCTTCAGGTCATTCACGTTACAGACTTGACAAGATGCTGGCAAAAACTTACTCTCAAATTTCACAGAAAGCAGAAAAGGAAATTGCCAAAATCAGAGAGAAAGAAAAACAACTCAAAATGGAGGCCAGGGCCATTGCCACTAAACGTGATACAGAGTTTGCATATGCAGAAACGTCTGAGCAGATTGTGGGTAAAGTGAATGAAGTGATGACTACAGCAACGTGCTATGAGATCCTGAAGTCCAAGAAGAAAATGCTGTGGGAATTGAATGAGCAGGTGAGAGTGTATAAGAGTTTGGATATCAAGCATGGGAAGTCATTCCTTGGCTTTAAGGAGAGTAAAGAGGACGGTCAGCTTGGGACTCTGCTCTTGGAGGAGAAATGGGAGAGAGATGAAACCTCAACAGCTATAGATCTTGTAGACCATCTTGCAGCATACTCCACAAGTGAAATAGTTGTGACGTACTTCTTTTATAATAAACTGCGTACATTGGATCCAAAGGGGAAGGTGATGTCTACAAAGACCTACAAACCTGTCCCAGATAAACCAAACAAACCCCATGACCCTAATGACATACAGAGAGCAACAGCTCTAGCCATCAACAAGGATGATCAACTTCTGATCCTAGACAATCCTGCAGTCAAGATCTTCAACAAGGAATACCAGCTCCTTCATCAGTTTCTACCAGGTAAAGAGGCCGGCGTGGACGGCACATCGACGTGCCTGGCAGTGGACAGCAGCAATCTGATAGCAGTGGGTTACAAGGACAAGGAACAGATATCTCTACACAACCCAGATGGTTCCCTCGTCAGAACACTGCCTGCTCCAAAGATTGATGCGCATTTGATCTTCAGCAACAAGCAGCTTATTTACACCAACAGCAAGGAGGGTTTGCTGATGGCTGTTGACTTACATGGCAACAAACTGTTTACTCAAAGTGGTAGTTTTCCTGGCGGGCTGTGTTGTGATGATGCAGGTGATATTTACTGTCTTGCCTCACACAAAGAAGGATATAATAGAAGAAAACTTCTCCATTTCAGTGCAGATGGCGAGTACATTGGCTCATGGCAATCTCAGGATCATAGTGTTATCACATACACACCTGCACATAAATTAGCATGTGCAGGGTTGACCACGTACATGGGTATGTATCACTTGGTTTAGAGACATCAACCAACAGGAATAGCAAATTCAAACGATCAAAATAAGCAAGGAATCCAAAAAAAAATCAAGACAACATGGCAACAAACTGTTTCAACGAAAATGCACTTCTGCTTGTGGGCTGTGTTGTGATGATGCAGGTGACAATTACATTATTTCCCCATCTAAGATTTTCCATTGCACTACAGGTGGCAATTATGTTGAAATAATAATACATAAGAGTGAGTTGATCGATACCATATACACACCTGCATTTAAATTAGTTACAAAAGGGTTGTGGATGTACATGTACAAATTAGTTTAAAGACATCAACCTATATTAAATTGAAAATTGAAGCGATCAAACTAAAAGGCAGGGAATGAAGAAACAAGTCAGAGGTGTTTACAAACACAAATGCCCCGCAACGGTGACAGTTCCCATGACATAACACCACTCTTTTAACATCAACTTACATGTACCTTGGTCACATGGAACATTCATTGACAGCATTAGTGTCTTCTGTAGGTTTTATATGAATTAATCCCTAATCCCTATAATCTCAGAATAAATACATGATTTCTATTGTTTTAGCCACTGTGAACTTGACCCTTGACCTTTTGGCCCCAAATTCAATAGGCTTCTTAGGATTACCAAGAACAATCCACAAACCAAATTTGAAGTTCATATGTTAAGTATTTCTCAAGTTATCGCGCTGACAAGATTTCTATTGTTTTAGCCACTGTGAACTTGACCCTTGACCTTTTGGCCCCAAATGCAATAGGCTTCTTAGGATTGCCAAGAACAATCCACAAACCAAATTTGAAGTTCACATGTAAAGTATTTCTCAAGTTATCGCGCTGACAAGATTTCTATTGTTTTAGCCACTGTGAACTTGACCTTAGGCCTTTTGGCCCCAAATGCAAAAGGCTTCTTAGGATTGCCAAAAACAATCCACAAACCAAATTTGAAGATCATATGTAAAGTATTTCTCAAGTTATCACGCTGACAAGATTTCTATTGTTTTAGCCACTGTGAACTTGACCTTTGGCCTTTTGGCCCCAAATGCAAAAGGCTTCTTCGGATTACCAAGAACAATCCACAAACCAAATTTGAAGTTCATATGTTAAGTATTTCTCAAGTTATCGCGCTGACAAGATTTGTCCGTACACACACACACACCCACCCAGACTTACATTACATACCTAGTGTGGACATTGCTTTGTTTTCGTGTAGTTAAGAAAACTCGGTACAAAAAATAACTTTACTTAAACTGTGAAAACTCTTTTAACCCAATTTTTTTTCTATGATTCCCTATAGTGTTTCTCTTCATTCTGCTACAGATAAACCTAACCCAAAAATGCCTCTAAACCTGTTTTCCAGAAAGGGCAAAACCTTATGTGGACCCGGCTTAGTCCACATAAGGTTAACACAACCTGCATTATGTGGACCTCTTTTGTTCACAAGTCCACATAGGGTATGTAACACAAACTCACACAGTCGTTTTTTGCTATGCTTCCGAGGATTGGCTTTGTGTTTTCCTTTGTCCCTGTAATATAACACTCTCCCATAGACTAAGCACACAAACCTGCGTTCGAGGACAATAGGCACCTTCCTACGAGGATCAATGGCCCCATTGTGCTCCTTTTGTTGTCTGTCCTCAGGCGTAATGCCATGCAGGAACACCCACGCACCCACACACCCAGACTTGTTTCACATACCTAGTGTGGACTTTCCTTTCTTTTCGTGTAGTTAAGGAACACCAGTGGAAAAAATCATTTTTCTCAAACTGTGAAAACTCTTACAACCCAATTTTTTTTCAATGATTCCCTTTAGTGTTTCTCTTCATTCTGCTACAGATAAACCTAACCCAAAAATGCCTCTAAACCTGTTTTCCAGAAATGGGGAAACACTGTGTGGACGTGGGCAAGTCCACACTTCGTCGCTGCTACCTACATTATGTGGACGTCTTTTGTTCGGAAGTCCACACTGCGTATGTAAGACAAGCTCACCCACACACACCCCCACCCACGGAAGGACAAGGCGGAAACAGTATGCCCCTTCGGCTTCGCCGCGGGGCATAAAAATAGAGGTCTACAGAACATAGGACTTCCCGCATTTCACGTTTTTTACAAGATTATGCTTTGTTTATCCGTGTGCAATCATGTTCAATAATGTTTAATTTCATGTACGAACACAACTCTGTGATTAACATGCTGCTTTGACATACCCAAGTTTGATTTCTAAATTTTTGAAATCCATAAAATGATCAAGCCTTAAAAGCACAATTGAGTGAAGTTCCACTGCTCAGTGGTTTGTTATTACTTTATCAACAACCTTCCCCTCCAAAAAAAACCCAGCAAAGTTTCCCAATAAAAAGAGTCCTTATTAAATGATCATGAAGCTCCATGAAAACGAGCAACTTAATTTATGGAAAAGCAACATATTTAATATCACGCTGCTATAAGCCCATACCATTTAACTTGAAACCAAGTCACCGTTGTGTTTTGTCTGACGAGGCCCCCAATATTTACTAGCACGGCACTCGCTAGCGCCATGTATTGTGCTTAAACATCCAGAGCACATCAATGCATTTCTTTTTAACAATTAGAACTTCGACATTTGGCCTATGGGGTCTGAAAGCGACTGGCAATCCTAAGAACTACCCACGTAGCTGCGAGCACAAATGCACTTAGTCTCAACTTGATATGCCAAGTTTTTCCTGAGTTACATGTGTATGTTGAAACAAAATATTCCTGTCTTTAATAATCATAACAATCCAAATCTTTGGCCTAAGGGGTCCAAAAAAGTGACAGGTTTCTGAGAAGATCGCCAGCTTAAATACAATACCAAGTTTTAAGTTGATATGACAAGTCTTGTTTGTGCTATGGTGGGGAAAACTATTGCTATTGTTTTAACCATAATGACCTTTGCCTTTGATTCATGAGTTCTTAACTCGTTAAGCTTCATTAAGCTGTGTTCAGGCCGTGACTTTGCTTAAGTTACGCTGTGTATATAATGCTGATGCGCGCAGCCATACAAGTGAACGTACTGTACGATGCTGACACTAGCTTGCATGGGAAAAGCGTAATCAAGGACAAGGCTGAACGGGTTATATGCTGGCGTGGTGTACATTCTTACATTGGCTTGTATTGTTTACATTTACGTACATTACTTACATTGGCGTGGATTATTTACATTGGCATGTATTGTTTATTTTGGCGTAGATGTATTGTTTACATTGTTGTACATTACTTACATTGGCGAGCATTGTCTACATCGGCGTAGATGTATTGTTTACATTGCTGTACATTACTTACATTGGCGCGCAATTGTCTACATTGGCGTACAAGTATTGTTTATATTGCTGTACATTACTTACATTGGCGCGCATTGTCTACATTGGGGTAGATATGTATTGTTTACATTTGGCGCGCATTGTCTACATTGGCGTAGATGTATTGTTTACATTGCTGTACATTACTTACATTGGTCCGTGTTGTTTACATTGGCGCGCACTTGATTACATTGGTGTGTTTTACTTACATTGGTGTGTATTGTTTACATTACTGTACATTGTTGATTCTGTGCGCATTGCTGCTTATATGAGAAGTGGCCGGGTTGTCTCCCAACTATAATTAAGTGACCCTGGTAATAGATCAGCCCAATTATAGATCCCATTCCCAACTACTACTGTATATTTCTTGATTATTGTATAATAAATTACGACCATACTTGTTGTGCCGACAATCCTGTTGTCAAGGTGTATTTCTTGCAGGTTTATTGTGCAATTAACAGAGAGTAATCACAATCATCATAATCGGCGGTAAATTTCCTCCAAAACGGACCTGCTCCCTAAGCTTCGACGTCGCTCTGAGTGGTCTCTCGTCTTGGGAAAACTTGGGCTCGGGAAGATCAGCTACACTCCAATATGTGTTAGACTTGGTTCCTATCAACTTCGCTTTGGCCGGTGGAGATCCCGGGCGCGCCGCCACAATACTATGGGGACCAAAGACGCTATGGGCACAGCAGAAAGTCCCCATAACTCAGTCCTAATTTCCCTAACAATAACAAACTTCGTGTTTTCCTTTGTCCCTGTAATGTAACACTCTCCCAAAGACTAAGCACATAAATGATGAACGTTGAAGTCAACAAAGAATCTCTTGTCCTCCCTTTGTCTGTCAGTCCTCGGATGTATGTAGTGTACGCCCACACGTTTGTTCTTGTTCCGTAACAGTGGGGAGAACACACACGTGTTGTCCCATGGTATTATGGGGCCAAAGACACTATGGGGACAGCAGAAAGTCCCCATAACTAGGTTTTTATTTCCTTAACAATAAAAACCTTCCCCTTAACGCTGGCACACGGACGGACAAGGCGGAAACAGTATGCCCCTTCGGCTTCACCGATGGGGCATAACCACATTCAATGATTGTTTTCTTCCAAACAATACCATTTCAAGTGGAATAATTTCACAGGGTATTAGGTACCTTTGAAGAAGGTTTTGGTCATTAAATCAGTTGGTCCGTTTCCGGGTATTCACCAACGTTACCACTACGGTACATCATGAGCTTTAAAATGACAACAAACTCGGAGCATTCCTACCTTACAATAGGAAGTTAAGGTTATATAAACTAATTGTTTTTTCTGCAATTTTCAGAAATTGATAGATTTGGGGGTTAGTATATTTCATAGCAAATATTGTCACACTAACCTATTAAAAGTTTTATGTTCATAGATGCTGGGAAAAACCAAGAAAAAACATGCTGCTCTTGTAGCCTGGTTCCCTGACCCTACTTCAGATGAAATGGAGCAATTTATAGATGGCAGGGCATTGTCAGGTCAGGGAACCAGACTAACCGGCTTACACCCATTCACGGATGTGCAACTGATTGCAAACAAAATGTATTTCAGAAAAGTCAGGTTTTTTCCAACGACTTGGTCGTAAGTTTCCCAACAAACAAAAAAACTTCCCCACAACGTACGCGTGGTCAACGATAACGTGACATACTTAGGAAATCATCCAATAGTATACCAACGGTTCTTGATAAAACTTTTGGGGTGTGTTTGAGCATGTTACTCGTGTTAACACGGGTATACTCCTGAGCGCACAAACGGCAGGAGTACGACCCGCGGGTTAGCAAGGGTATGCTCTCCGTCATACCGGGAGTATACTCCTGCACCGAGAGTGATACGCACGCAGCATTTTCCTGCACTCAGGAGTAGCAAGAGTAACACGCCCAAACGCACCCTTGAAGGGTTTTTGTAAGATGAATAGTCACCTCGGCGACCTATGAACTCACCTCCCGGATGTACTTGATGCCTTCCGTGGCGAAGAGGATCTGCTGCATGTCGCTGGGCATGGCTAGCGGCTTACTGGTGGGGATGATCAACGTCCGCTGCCTCGGTGGATAATCCCCTTGATCTGGGGATTAACAGTAATCCACAATAAGTCCAATTCAATCATTGCTATTCTGATAATGAAATTTAACTCTAACTCGCCTCAATCCTCCAAAATCCTCATGGCAGTTTAGGAGGATTTTGGAAGATTGAGGCTGAATGGCTAAAAGTGTCCGTTCATTTTGGACCCTGCATTGTTTATGTTGCAGCCATGCATTACTGAGCCCTGCATTATGCTCGATATCATCCGCACTGCTTCTGAATGTCATCAGCACTGCCTCAACCCATTAACAGTGAATTTTAAAGAATAGAGTCAATGGTCACTCCTCCATTGATTTTGGAGGATTGAGGATGGTTCCTAGCCAAAATTGTAATGCTTATATAGTGCTTTCCATTATAACAACGATCTCAAAATGCTTTACAAATATTCTCCGTTCATCAGGCCACGAGACCACATAGCAGCCGATATCAGCGTACATTCGGTCCTTTATACCCCCACAGCTACCCGTTCATACTCCTGGGAGGAGAGGCAATTGTAGTTAAGTGTCTTGCCCAAGGGCAAAAACACCATGCTCCTGGCAGTAGAGTAGCACAGTACTTATGCACAAAGTCCATACAACAGACAGCCAGACTTACCGATTGTTCTGAACTTGGAGACGTCACAGTACAGGATCATGACAGCCAGCATCGTGTGGAGATAAGTGAACTCTTTGGTTTGCAGCGACGTCCATCGCCTCGTCTGAACATCCTACGCAGGCCAAAAAATCAATAAGTAGTCTCAAGAAATAAAACCATTGCCATGACGTCACACTATTGTTAAAAGTGTAGATTCAGAACTACGAATCTCTTACACTGGTCACAAAGTGTGGATTCGGAAACGACGAATCTTCAGTCAAGTTTGGATTCGGAATTACAAATCCGCATTTTGGACAATGTACTTTAAAACATATATCACTGAGTAGACATCATGAAACTTATGACACGTTAAGGAAAGACTGTTGCATCCTGACGCCACTCTTTTCCTCATATATCATCTCAATAAAGGTCAGTCATTGCAAAAATGTTGAAAAGACATGAATCTGGGAACGAGAAACATTTCCATTTTTGTTAGGTAATACTTCATAGACTCTCCGTAGACTCCCACAACCGCTTCGTGGCGTCTGGATACAACATTCTTTCTCACGTTAATTTCATTCTCTTTTTTTTTACGCATTCTTAATACATTTTGAACATTTTCAATTTGTTTTCACTTGATTCAAATCCATGTTGACGTGAAAGAGTCTACACCCAAAATAACGTGGTTGCACGGGTGTGGCGACTAGGATTCACATTATTAACAGAAACACGCCACAATGTTAATTTCCTTTACATAAAATTTGATAACATAAGCGCCTCGGATAACTCCCTTGAATGTAAGTTCCGCCGAATTAAATGGCCACGATACAAGATATGCAAGTCTTTTCATCTCCACTCACTGGACTGTAAATGACAATACTCCTTTTGACACAATGGTTTAAGTCAGAGAATACACTCACAAGTGTGGATTCTTAATTTACAAATTTACTCGGCGCTTTGCGCCTTGTGAATTCTTAAATTACGAATCCACACTTTCTCCTGTATTCTCTGTAAATGTCTACTATTGGACACAGGTTAAAAGTCATGTGAATTATGGCATCAATTAGGTGATCATTTTGTGAGACTTTATTTGAAGCATAATTAACTTATCACAACTAGATCTATATGTGCTCGAAGTGAGTAATAAAGAACCAGCCATTATTGGGTGATCGTCACCTGATTTCATTTAACGCACTGTTTTTTACACGTGAAACTATCTTACATACCTCTTCATTCTGTGCAGTGTGTGGGCCCAAGAGGAACATAACGATCCGCCGCACGGCAGACTTAGTGAACAGATGTTTGCAGCATACAATATCCTATGATTGGAAAAGACAACAAATTCATTCAGGCCAAAAACAATTAAAAATCCGGTTTCTGGTATGCGCGCGCGTCACCGCGGCGTAGCCATGCGCGTCGGCAAAATGAAACAGTTTTTTTTTTCAATGAAAGATGATGTCTCAAAACCGCCAAACTCACTGGTTTGACTGGAATCCTGCTGCTGCACAATTTGAATGTGTTTTTAGATTGGGTTATAGTCGAGAATAAGCTTTATGTGGCCTCTCTGGACTCCAATATATTTGCTCTCCAAATTTGAGTAGTTAGCAACAGGTCTATCAAAAATTGGCCTACTGCCATTGAAACCAATACCCAATTTTTGCAGCCATGTGGTACATTATTAATAAGTTACTTACTTTATCATGAAGAGACGTCATAATAAATGGGATCAAAGTATGATGGTGCAGTTATAAATGCATGGTTTCAAGCTGGTTAGGGGCCTGGCTGATAATAATGTTCGGCTCAGGCTATACATCTTTTTCACGAGGAAGCCATTTTTGATCGTGTTCCCTGAATGTATTTTATAAATTGTCAACTGTTGAATGGGATGGTGCCAGACTATTTATGCCTTCCAAGCCTCACTTTCAATTTTTCTGAACGCTCATTGGTTTACTGCCATGTACTTACACAACAACAAATCACCAAAAAAAAAGAAAATTTGTGACAGCAAAATATCCAAACTTATAGGAACTTTTTGTGCTGAAATAGCTGTAACATTGAGGTTTCTGCCCGGAATGACATTACAGGTTTGCTCATGAATACGGTAATTTGAATTAGCATAAAAACCAAAAAGACATCAAAATACCCTTGGATATGGCAATACGAAATTTAAAATAAGGTTAAATGGAACACAAAGATGCATTTTCAATGATTGTATTAAATAAATGCTATCTACACTGCATGGGCCCTTTAAGAGTCAAATGAATGCTGCCCTCAGAACTCACCAGAGTTTCTTTTTGGTTCGGAAGTAATTGTTGAATAGAAACTGGAAGGCTAGTTGCAGGCTGGTGACGGCACAGGAATCGCAGTAACTGCTCAGTGTGAAAGACTGCAGATTGACAAGAAGAGCAATATTTTTGAAAAGGAGTTTTTATTAAAGAATTCTCGATCAGGGTAATGATTTAGGGTACACTTTATAAGCAAATACCAAAAGTTGCAAATTTAAAGATTACGCGAGGAGAAATTGCTTAGTGCAAACCACATGCCCGTAATTGGCGCCTATCAACTGCACAGTGTTTGAACAAAGCGCGGGTAATTCAATTCCTAGTGCTCCCATGCATATACAAGCACTGTGCAATCAATATTCCCTGCCGTTCGTTTTGGGCATTGTAACATTGTCACGCAGCAAATTTCCACTCGCCTACTCTTTAAATTTGCAACTTTTCCAGCTGCATAATTTTTCATACCATTGTCAATGTTGGACAGTTTACAGTCTTTGGTAGCAAACTTGGCATCAAAATGTAACTAAACAAATTCCCCTATGGTCTATATCAATGACTTTATCATAAGACGATCAGATTCAAAATTATGACCCTAAAATGAGTGTGGACTTTTTTTTTTTTTTTGCGGTGTTTATTTGAAAATCTAGTAATAGCAAAAAATCCCATGCTGACAGTGGGCGTATTTCACATGAAACCAAAGAAGTTGGGCTTGTGTGTATGATGAAGTGTAGTACTCCAACAGCTCGATTTTTGAGAAGCAAAGTTTTGTACCCTGAAATTCCTTCGTCAGCAAATTTGAAAGGTTTGGTTGTGTTGAGCATTTGTATTAGAACTTACATTTTAATGATCTGCCCAACTATTATCATTGTGCGGTAAACAAGTTTTCGAGCCAGAATTGGCACTTTTTTTGTAAACAAAAAAAATTCCCTGAAGATGTTTTTGGACTCACCACATTGCAGGACGCAAGGCTCCGGACAAAAGTAATCAGTGTCATAGATGGCGCGGTTCCGCAGGAACTGCAGATTGTTGTCGCGTATGACGCGCTGGCTCCCTGGCGGTATGCGGTCCATGAACATCCCCCGGTGTTCCCCCTTGCACACCAGAGCAGTCAGCTCGCTGAGACGATCGCCGTCGTGGTGTGGGGACAACTCAGGGGAACTGACTGGTTCCAAACTGGCGGGAAAACACAAGAAAGAGCTTTACTCGTCGATATGTAAACGATTTTGACAACAGGGGCTAAAGGACTGAGTGAAACTTGCGCAATCCCCCTGGCATGCTGGCAGTTTTTATAGTCAGTTAGTACGGATACTTGTCAGTGTCCCTAACCAAAATGGACGATTTCTATTGTTTTAGCAAAATTGACCTTGACCTCTGACCTGTTGGCCCCAAGAGCAACAGGCTTGATAAGGCTACCAAGAGCAACCCACAAACCAAATTTGAAGACTACAGGAACATGATTGTTTTTCTTGTTTTTTTTCCATCATCTACAAACATAAAACTTCAAACAAGTCGGTGTAACAATATTTGCTATAAAATACTAACCCCCCAAATCCATCCATTTCTGCAAATTACAGAAAAAGCGTATAGATACCAAAAAGCTGAAATCTCTTAGATTTTTCAACCCAACATTTTGGAGAAAACGTGTTAAAAGCTGTGGAAAAGAGTACTGTTTACAACAACTTACACGTGAATCTCGCCTTCGCTGTCTTGCTTGAGAAGTGTGATAATGTTGGGTAAAGATAAACAACAAAATCCTTGTATGGAGAAAGCCCTGGTTCTTAAAAGGCAAAATCGCCTCATGCCAACAACGTTATTAAAGTATCTTTTCGTGGAATTTGAATGATACAATCCATTCCTTACTCTATGGAAAAACATATACATGTATACAATTAAATTTAACAAAAACAAATCTGACAAAATACAGAAAATATACAACTGGGTAAAATTGAGAATTCTTTATTCAAATCTTGCACTTCTCTGTCTCACGAAGTTGATCATGAAAGAAAATTTTTATTTAAAATACCAGGAATTTGTAATCAATATTTAAAATATATTTACATATATGTACACACATGTACATTAATGTCACTGACCAGCCCTTCAGTGTAAACTCTGCAGAAACCGTACGCTCAAATGTGTGTATGCATATGCCTCTTTAATTAAGGCCAGTTTAAACCAGTAGAGACTGGTTTGAACTGGTTCAAACCAGATTTGAACCAGTATCTCATATACCTATACAATACACTAAGTTTACTGTCTGACCTACTAACCATGTCTTGCATTGTATCAAACAGTACTACATTACTTAAAAATGCAACTTTTTTTATTCCTACTATTTTAGTGAATCAAAGTAGATTTTCACCGATGGTTTTAAACTTTTTAAGGTCTCCAAGTATGTACAGTATTTTGCATTAAGGCAGACATTTTTTTCTTGTGCATTTTTATGTGAATATTTTTATTTTGTCTGGTTATCAAGAAATCCTTTGACTGAGATTCATTTTTTGTTTGTGTGCATGTGTGTAATTTCATGACGGATCTTTGCATATCAATCCCCCTAAAGATAGATATATAATATTGGATGGCTTTGAGGGGGATATAAGAACATATTGCATGAGCTATGATGAGGGCACTATTGTTATAGCTAGTGCAATATATTCTTGTATCCCCCGGGAAAAAAAGCCATCCAATACTATTATTATTATTTATATCAAGCTGACTTGATCAGCAAGAAATACCTTTCAAGACACTGTCTTTATTTCTGAAATTTCACCGAATATTCTTTGCTTTATACCGAAGCAAATTTTGTGCTGCTCGAAGCTGCCATTGTTGCTGTTGACAACAGTGCGCGTATATCATGATGCGCGTATATCATGCTGCGCGCTGCGTCCATGCCCGCGTGCAATGGTACCGCGCTACGCTCTGTTGACTGGTTGACAACTGTGAGGTTCTACGCTCTTGATTGTGTGGGAACCAGCGAAAATTGTTAAAATGCCCGGATGAGGAAAATATCAAAAAATATTATTGTCCTCATCAGGGTACTTTGACTGACATAATATTGCAGTCATCCAGGTACTTTTTACGAAAGCATACAATACGCTCAATTATTTTTATCACTGGAAGCCTGATATAAATAATAATATAGTTTAACTCTTTGGATACAAACGAAATTGCCTCAATTCTACCGAAAGTGAAACAATGTGTACTATATGATCTTTGAACAGATATATCAAATGTTCGTATCTGGCGGGTGCAATTTTGGAATAATCTACTCATTGCACACATAACCTATACAAAATTAAACTAAAAAAGGCTAAAGTGTTTCTGCTTATCAAGGTTGCTTCACTAACTGCAGAAAATGAAAATAATTCAGGTGGAAACCTTTGCTGCAAGGTCTACTTTTCTGTAGCATAAAAAGCGTAGTTTGTAATGTCATGTCAGTATTTAAAGCACAGTTAACATTACAAACAATTCAACAGACGAACAAAAATGCAACTTTGTAACTTATGCTACAAGCACTAAAGCACCACATCCTATGAACTTCAAATTAAATATAATTTCAGATTTTTTTCTTATGGAATTTGACAACGGGTTAATAAAAATGGACTAACTGATCCAAATGAAAAAGTAAAACTTCATAACTACTTGAAACAAAATTTGGAACACAACAGAAAAATTGTGCAGATGTTAATTATGTTAACGTGTGCAAGAACTCAGCCCCCTACATAAATGTCCATATGACCTTAACATTGGCCAGGTATTTTCATCTTCTCAATTGAAAAAAATCCCACATAAAACTGAACAACAAGAATTGTTTTTCCCAACTAATCTCATTGGTCTCTTTATCTCTTTTTAAAATGAAAAATTGACGTTTGAATTTTTAACAAAAACCTACGTTTTATCTTTTCTTATGTACAAAGTATTTACATATGAAATAGTGAGGCATACTATTTACAGCACTTGATGAAGATGTTATTAAATTTACACAGAAAGGGACCTTCAATAGTTAACATAGAGCAAAACACCCCCCCCCCCAAAAAAAATGAAATTTTCAAATTTTATTTAGTGCTACTTGAAAAATAACTTGCATTGGTGTGTATAACTATAAGTTATTCATTTTTACTTAAAACACACCGCTACCAAACTATCTACATGGAAGATACTGAAAATGCATATTAATTAGGTATTGCCATAGCGATACCACATGCAGTTGCGATTGGATGAAAGAGTGAAGGTAGTCGCCTGGCATTGGATGCTTTCCTTTTTATGAATATTCATGCCATTCCTGGTACAATCTGATTGGTTCTCATGAAACACATTACGGTCAAAGGTTAATGATATACATGTAATCTATCTGGTTGAAACCAGTCGCAGCTAGTTTCAAATCCAGATCCAAAAATACTATCAAATTCTCTTTTAGCTGAGGCAGTTTTGAAAAGTTGTTAGAGTACTCATGCTGTGTGAACATTTGAAAAATACAACCCGTTTTGTTGTTGTTGTTTTTAAAACTATTTACAGCAGACAATAATGATGAAACATGTATGTCATAGTCATTTATCCCACGAGCGTGAGTGGGACACAGAATAAAGTAGTGCGTCAAAGTACCAAATGCCACGAGGCTGAAGACCAAGTGGTATGTGGGACACAGACGTACCAAATTTTCCATTTTTCATGAGCGCGAGTGGAAAACGGATTTATCTTCAAGCCAACTTTACGCACAGTAAAGCTGGATGGAACGCGCGCACCCTGTACACCAACTTTCCAGCGGTTATCCTTTAACACGTGCGTGCAGTAGTCATAGGGCGCATCTAAGAATAGTGCGATACCCAGACTGCGATATGGATAATGTTGTTGTCATGAATCAGCCAATCAGGATCGAGGATTCAAGTTTGCTCGAAGATGCCAGAATTCAGTGTTTTTACAGCGAAGAATTTACTCTATGCATAGATTCCAGATTCAAAAATCTTTGTAGAGTTATTTGATCTAAAGTTATTTCAATGTATAAACTATTTGGAAACTTGATTTAATCAAGTGGGGTAATCAATGAACAGAAACAAAAAGAAATTCACTGTAAATCCCGCAGCAACTTTTGATAGAAAATTCCTGAATCCTACAAAATAAAACACAGTGCACAAAACAAATAGTCATACTTGAAACTTCATAGGTGCATCAACCCCTGTGCCAAAAAAAAAACCAATTAGCTAGGCCCAACTTTCCTCAATCCTATAAAATCCTTCAAAAAAATTCTGATGGAATTTGTAGGACCAGGGAGTGGTAACGTTTAGAAATGGACCAAGTTACTATGCAAAACATCTAGTAAAAAGAATCAGTGTGACAAAAGGTTTAAATTCAGGTTTAAATAAATTTTTGTCACTTTTGCATCCCTTGCTGTGCGACTTTACGGCAAAACGACACACATACCATGCTATAAATTGTGTCCTTATAAAATTATTGCTTCTACAAACTACACTCGAGTCAAAATAAAAAAATAACAAACAAACTTTGTCCTATATTGGCTTAAAATAGAAGAATTTGTGTGACACACAAAATTATGGCTTACAGTGACTAGAGTGAATGACTGAACGGGAACAGCGGCCAACAGAAATCTGGTAAGCATGGAAAATATCTGCTCAGCAAATACAGGTTTCTCAAGGTACAAAGCATGCGAGTTATTATAACTTCTGACTTGCTTGGGCAAAAAATATTGTTATTAAGCATTCATTGTCTGCTTTGAACACCCTATGCAAACAGACATTCTGTGCCAAGTTGTCCTTTCAGTCAAAATCAATCAAATGAACCATGGATCGCAAGATCTGTGGTTTGAACCCTTATCCAATTTTATGAAATAGTTTTGTTGGTTGGCATAAGTTAATTACATGGAAAACACTATGAGAACCTAAGTGTCTTCCATCCACACAGCGTGATAAATATTCATGTTAGGGTGCGTGATGTGATTGGTTAAAAAACGATGTGACAGCAAAAAAAAAATATGCAACCTGGCCCTTGGTTTCCTACGACCTGACCTGTGATGACCTCTGACTTATGACCCCAGGAGTAAGGAACCATCTTCTATTGGCTACAAATTCTGAAACAGAAAAAAAAATATGCCGTTATGTATCAATGTCGTCCAAGTCGCCTACGTCATCCTGGACCAGCGTCTTGGAAGACTCTGAGCTGTCTTCATTCCCGTTGACCTCTGACCCCTCCGACGACCCGTTGACCTCCATCTTGGTGTTGGAGTCACCCTCGACGTACTCCTCCTCCTCTTCGTCGTTCTCGATGTGTTCACCGTCGTCGTCACGGGTGTTGAGCTCATCCAACAGCGCGGTGGCTTCGGCCAGCGTGTCCTGAGCGCTCATGGTGCGTTGGAAGGACCGTCCCGTGCTGGATTCGTTGGAGACGTTCTGAGGCGTCCAGTAGTGCTCACTCATCTATGCAAAACAGCAACATAAACAAAATAAGCACATTAATTGTCTAGTCTTGATAGAAAGTTGCTATGAACTTCTTGAAATATTCTCTGGGAAAATGAAAGATTAAAAGGTATTTAGGATAATTCACCTACAGAATTATTATCAAAAAGCTTATTGGGACCAAAGATCCTACTGGTACTAAACACCCTGTGAACGCTTTTCGTCTGGCTTGCTGTCATTAAGAAGAAATCAAGCAGTGATTTCCAGTCAATTGACTGATTTCTTTGAAATAAAGATTGCTGTTGACGAAATTGTGTTAGGTTATCAAAAGGTTATGCACAGTTTTTCACTGTTTTCTCAAAAAGTGTAATATCCACTAAGCTGAAAATTCCAACAGATTAGGTTTTGACCTTTCTTCTTTGGATTTTGAGTGGTGTTATCATTGCATGGAAACAAACAAAATGCACAAAAAGCAAATGATCCTAGACTTTTAATGGACTAGGGTATTTTGGTCTTCTAAGGACACCTATGTATTTTTCCATACTGCTTAGCCGATTATCATACAAATTTGGCAGAAATATTTGCTGCCTAAACTACTGGGTGACTACTCAGGCATGCAACTGGGAATTTAGAAAAAAATGAGAAAATTCCAAATCACACAAGAATTTATACAGTATTTTTTCAATTCCCAACAAATTTGTGTTGCACTTTGCGTGGAATGTGTACGGCCGTTGTCTATGAATGAGATCTCCAGAGCTGCTATGCAGCAGGCATGCGGCTATTGTCCCCTGGATTATCAGCTTTCGTTTGTTACTAACTAAATATAATAACCAACGTACGGACTAACTGACGGATCATACATTTCTTAATTTCTTTTAAACGATGTCAAGACAGACGGAATAATATCACTGGTTGTTTAGTACCAGTACAATCTTTTAATCCAAATAGCTTAAAATAATACTTTTTAATATCAACCCAACTCCCTAGGGGGTGTGTAAAGTTGTATTAAAATTTGAGGATTCAGGACTGTTGGTGCTATTAATAGATTCTTAGGTTACTTTTGGGAGAAATGCAAATAATTCTATGCAAGGGCGGATCCAGAACACATTTTTTTTGGGGGGGGCCAAAAACAATTTTGGTCCCCCCCAAAAAGTGGGTCAAAAAAATTACGGCGTGGGGTTCGGGGCCCGCTTAAGGGCCCCGAAAATTGTTTGATTCTAGATGCTCTGTGGTGCGATCTGAGGCAATTTCTGACCACTTTAACCAATGTTTTTTTGAGGAAAAGATGGTGGTGTACTCATTGCCTGCCTTTATTGCAATGTCACATAAAAGAAAAAAAAATTGGTTTCGTTTTTTGGGGGGGGGGGCCCATGGCCCCCTTTGGCCCCCCCCCCCTGGATCCGCCCTTGATCCTATGTGCCTTTAAGTCAGCTTGTAAATAACCAGGGATAGAACATATTTTATCTAATTACCTTGTCCTTTGACTTGGTTAACTTGAAAAAGTAAATCTTTTGACTTCAAGATATTAAACACGCTTAACCGACCCTTCATAAAAATACATGTTAAGTTTTTACCTTTTTCTTGAGCCAGTTGACCGCCCACTGCCACCGGACCGAGATGGTCATCAAATACTCTTTGGCCATGGAGCATTTGTTGGACAGATGGACCAGGAATTTGATGCACTGGTAGGACCGACGGCTGTCCGTGGAAGTACATTTACGGATGATCTCTGTGAGACAAAAACAAGAAATAGTGAGATTAATGTTAAATCAGCCACGATAAGTCTGTAAGGATTGTAGTTAAGGCTGCAGTCCATCATTTGCAGCTATCCAAAAAGTAACTAAATAACTATTGTTGACAAACATACTTGGTTGAAAGATATTAAGGGGACTAGACTCCCTAGGAAATTATTCTTTCTGGCAAGCTGTCATTTCGAAGAAATCAACAAAAGAAGGCCTTTCCAACAGTGCAACTAAAGACGCACCATTGGAAATTTCTGTTAGTACTTCGTTTTTTATACGGCGAAGTGCACGCAAGCATTGACACGACGCACACGCGCACGCCCTCTATAATTTGTCGGATCAGTGCGCGACATCGCATAGCTGCAATCAGTTAGGTGAGAATGTGTCTCGGACGCTGAATTCAGGCCCAATTCAAAACATGATTCAGCAACTTTTGATATTGAAATCGAGATGCTAGAATGTTTTTTTCTCTTGAAATATACAGCTGAAACTGAGCTGAAACTTCATGAGGTTAGTTGTTCAGCACCCTGGAAATTTTGACTTGTTTTGACTTTTTGACTGAAAGGTATTCATGAACGGGAATAAATATGCATGTGCTTGACAGATATTGATATGTCTTGGCCTCCCAAGATGGCGTCCGAGTGGCTTCACCCTACCCAGTCAGTCTATACAGAGATGAGTGCTCCTTACCCAAGAGGCCGTTGTTGTTGTTGCCTTCCACGGCTAGCTTGAGGCGCTTGCCCTGCAGGGGGTCCTCCATCATCAACAGCTCCAGGAGGAGAATCAAGATGTGCTTCAGCTCATTGGTGGGCGCCGAGGACACCTGACCCTGTATCGACCAATCAGGGTGGAGAGACAATAAATGAAAAAAAAATCAATACAACAAAGAGAAAAAATTCTGGCAAATATTGTAGCGTTTCAAATTTCAATCACCCTTGTTATATTTAAAAGGTCCATAGGATCATTTTTTACTTTTTGTCGTTAAATACGTTTCTGGGTCATTGCCAACATTCCTACATCAATGTGCCTTTAATAACATTCAAATACTGCAGACAGTAAGAAATTATCGCTTGGCACAGTAAAATTAAACGAGAAATTTTTAACGAACCGTCTGCACCCATTCACAGATTCAACTCATAGCAAGCTTTTCAACAATAACTTTGTCAGTTACTTTTTGTAAAGCTGCAAATGATCTACTCTACCTTTAAAACAATGTTCATCAATATGAATGAGACATAGAATGAAAAATCTGCCCATCTTAACAAATTTTGAATTACTTGCTGAACGACAATCTCGAAGGTTGCAGATGTCCTCAATCCCCCCATCTCGAAAAAAGTTGGTCTTCTGGGGGATTAAAATAAAAACATACAGTACAAATTAAACATTTGTTGGATCAACTTGAATTGTAAGGAATTGTACTTACGTGGATCATCATCATGACGGACAAGGTGAACGTGTCGTTGCAGTAGCAGCAATGCAGCAGCATGTCCAGCAGTGCAGTGGTTGCATTGGGTACTTCGCGGAACATCAGTATGACCTGCAAATGTTTTGGTAGAATAGCATTTGTACATTCATTACATTTGAATGTTTTAACATTTCTTGAAGCATTAATTCATACGAGGTGCAACTAATTACCATCTGATACAAGGGTCATTCCACCGGGTTGGGAAACAGTGCATCGTACATCCAAAAAATTGGATATATTATTAAAAGTATCAATGCATTCTAAACAATTGCTTAACATAAAATTTGTCTGAGGGTGTTTTAATAATTGTGAAAGTTTGAAATCATTTGAATGGACTTTGACAAAAATATGAGCAAAAATGAATTATTCGAATGTAACGGTGACAGTGTCAATGTTACAACCAAATACTTTTTTTGGGGGGGCCGTTTTTTTTGGACACATGTAAAATAATACCCAAACTGACATTGCATATTTATAACTGGACACCTAATGCACCAAGAAAAGCTTTTGTTTTGGTATAGTCAGGGTTCAAATATAGCAGAAATGATATCTTTAATGTAGACGTAACGGTGTCACAATCACTCAGTGGAAGTGTGACATTTGGGGTTGACACGGTGTTACGTCCACAACCAAGCTATCATTTCTGCTCCATTTGATACCCGACTACCATAACAAAAAATAGCAAAAAGTTTTTCTTGGTGTGTCGCATGTATAGTAAGAAGTACATAAAGTGAATTTGGGAAATGCTTTACAGAAATTTCATTGAAACGGTGTCAATGTAAGGTCCAAATGACATTTTTGCTCATATTTTTGGCAAAATACATGCGAATGATTTAAAACTTTCTGCAGTGGTGAAACACCCAACAATAAATATTATGTAGAGCAACTGCAAGCACGGCATTCATACTTTTCATAATATGGTCACATGTCACACATTGTGCCCCAACCCGGTGGAATGACCCATAAAGGTTATCCTCATAAACATTTGATAAATTGTAATACACCGATCCGTCTGCCTACATGCACAGGAGCAGCCGGGTACAATGTACAAGTACCACTGAACACCTAGCCACAACCAACAACAATAGGCCAGAGGTGACGTCTCATAAAAAGCTATTCACAAAAACCTGGGAATTTCCCAAATGAGAAATTGTGTTCATGAGGAAACAGTTCAACTGTGACGTCACAACGACAGCCGTTGCTGTGCACTTGACTCTACAAGGCACTATTCACTATTGGACAATCTGTGTGCACAACATACAGTCGTGCTGTTGTAGTAATAGTAGGGTGCGGCTGATACTGCCGACAGATTGCATGCAGGAAACGACTTCAAACTGTACCCATAAACAGGCCTGTTGAACTTGTAGGTAGGTGGACATTGTAATGTGAATATACAACATTTGCCTTTGCTGTAATTTTCAGAAATGGATGGATTTTGGGGGTTAGTATTTTACAGCAAATTACACTGACTTGTTTGACGTTTTGGGTTTGTAGATTCTAGAAAAACCAAGAAAAACAATCATGTTCTTGTTGAGTCTGGTTCTCCGATGCCACTTAAATTGAAAAGGAGCAATTTATAGACATCGGGGAATTGTAAGGCCAGGGAACGAGTCTAGAAGGCTTGGACCCGTTCACAGATGTGTGATCAATTGCAAACAATATTCAGACTAAAATATGGTATCCGGGCAGTAATTGAAAAAAAGCCATTTTTTTCCAATTTGAAATTGATACAAAAATACCACTATTCTTGAAAATGTCAGCACACCATGATTTTACAGGATGCTTTAGACTGTCATTCAATAACAGTCCAGTAAGGTTTTTCATAATAATTTGGTGGTTTTGTTTTTTGATGTTTGCAAATGTTGTACCTTATATATTCCCTTTGATGCAGCCACACAGGCAAGCATATATAACACTACGACAGACTGCTTAATTGTGCTCTCATGTATCCAAGAAGAAATATTGACTGTCATGATGTTCTTTGATTATTTACCTTCGTATTGTTATGTGCATGTATGTTTTTGATTTCATCTGCATAAAATTGAAGTGATTTCAATACATATTTACATCTACATGTATGCAAACTGTTAGTGAACTACAGTGGAACGCCGCTATACCGAACATTCGGCTTTACCAAACATCATCCTTGGCTCCTGGTTTTAATGTACAATATCTACCGAACATTGTTGTTGAAAAAAGTCAATAGATTAACAAAAAAATCTACCAGTTGTATTAAACACTATTTGGGCCACTTTTAATTCCCAAACATCGAACGACCCATAGTTACATCATGTTTGAATGTTGAAGAGCGATAGATGGCTATTATTCCCCCAAGGAATAAAATTAAGGGAAAACCACCCGGCCCAAAGAATAAAAGGGAAAACCACCCATTGCTAAATTTTTGTGACGACTCCTCGTGCGGCGACGGGATGTGAGAAATGCCAGTTCATTATTGGTCAAAAGAGGGTACCAGCAGTTCAAAATCACTTTACCGAACAATCATTATTACGAACACTGTCTGTGGATCCAACGATGTTTACTATAGTGGCGTTCCACTGTATACTGAACATGAGTCAGTCTATAATTATACAGTATTTTATAGTATGCATAAGTTGACATTTTTTATTTTTTATTTCCACTCTGATATGGTACATGTAGAGTCCAACTGCCAGCAAGATGGCAGAGGGAGGTGTGACCGATCTAGTCTTGGATGAGACTCAGAAGGAACTTCAGGAATGTCCTATCTGTTACACTGAGTACAAGGATCCTAGGATGCTAGACTGCTCACACAGCTTCTGCCTGAAATGTCTGCAAGAACTCAAACTGACACAAAATAAGGATGACAAAAGCATTGTCTGTCCGTTGTGTCGAAAGGAAACTGTTCTGACTGAAGCTGGCGTGGACATGCTACCTGGAGGATCAAAGGATGTCAATCAACAGGAGCAGACTGAAGGTCAGGGGTTAAAAGTCACGTGTCAGGCATGCAATGAGGAGAATGAAGCCATTTCTCGATGCATGGATTGCAAGCATTATCTCTGTCAAGAATGCCTGATGGCACACAATCGAATGGCAGTAATGATGAAGGATCACAAGATTGTAGCTTTGACAGAGCTACATGTTGAGTCCCAAGAAATAACTGAGGACACTGAACTCAAGAAAGTTCCCAAGTGTCGCGAGCATCCAGATCAAGATCTCTGTCTGTATTGTAACACATGTGACATCCTCATATGCAATGAATGCACAACCTTTGACCACAAAGAATTTATGCATTCTTATGAAGGTATCGACGAGGCATTCAATAAATGTAAACAAGAAGTAAAAGAATCCATATCTAAAATGGAAGAATGCATTCAAAAATGTGTTTCTGCCAACCCCTCTTCAGCACATTCACGCTACCGACTTGACAAGATGCTGGCAAAAACGTACTCTCAAATTTCACAGAAAGCAGAAAAGGAAATTGCCAAAATCAGAGAGAAAGAAAAACAACTCAAAATGGAGGCCAGAGACATTGCCATTAAACGAGATAAACAATTTGCATATGCTATAACGTCTGAGAAGATTCTGGGTCAAGTGAATGAAGTGATGACTACAGCAACATGCTATGAGATCCTGGAGTCCAAGAAGAAAATGCTGCGGGATTTGAATGAGCAGGTGGAGGTGCATAAGAGTTTGGATATTAAGCATGGGAAGTCATTCCTTGGCTTTAAGGAGAGTGAAGAGGATGGTCAGCTTGGGACTCTGCTCTTGGAGGAGAAATGGGAGAGAGACGAGACCTTTTCAGAACATGTGCACGGTAGAGACTATCTACATACAGCAGCATACTCCACAAGTGAAATTGCTGTGGTATGCAGTGATAAACTGCTAACGTTGGATACAACAGGGAAGGTGATTTCTACAAAGACCTACAAACCTGATAAACCGAACGAACGCCATGACCCTAATGACATACAGAATCCAGCAGCTCTAGCCATCAACAAGGATGATCAACTTCTGATCCTAGACAATCCTGCAGTCAAGATCTTTAACAAGGAATGCCAGCTCCTTCATCAGTTCCTACCGGGTAAAGGGGCTGGCGTGGACGGCATGCCGACGTGCCTGGCAGTGGACAGCAACAATCTGATAGCAGTGGGTTACAAGGACAAGGAACAGATATCTCTACACAACCCAGATGGTTCCCTCATCAGAACACTGCCTGCTCCAAAGGTCGATACATATTTGAAGTTCAGCAACAAGGGACTCATATACACTAACAACACAGAGGGTTTGCTGATGGCTGTTGACTTACATGGCAACAAACTGTTTAATCAAAGTTGTAGGGATCCTGGTGGGCTGTGTTGTGATGATGCAGGTGATATTTACCTTCATGCCTCAATTAACGTGAGGAATAAGTTATACAAAAACATTTGCCATTTTAGTGCAGATGGCAAGTTCATTTTCTCATGGAACCTTGGGGATCATTGTGATATAACATACACACCTGCACATAAATTAGCATGTACAGGGTGGGACATGAGAAGGTATCACTTGGGTTAGAGGCATGTGTCAACCAACATGAATTACAAATTCAAATGATCACAATACTAGGCGGGGGGGGGGGGGGGGGGGGGGGGTGTATTTATTTCATACATACTTATATCAACACATTATCTACACAAACACACACATGTACATTACTGATGCTCCATGCATCTTTAGGGCAGTGAAATGTCCAGAAACTTTCTGACTGCAACTTCACAAACAGAACAGACTTAAAACACAAGAACAAGCTTTATTGGCTTTTCCGCAAAAAAGCGGAAAAGCCTTTCTTTTTGTTCTCATTTTTGGCTTTTCCGCAAAGTTGCGGAAAAGCCTTTGTTTTTGTTCTCATTTTTTTTTTTTTTTTTTTGGCTTCTTCTTTTTGTCGCCTAAATCCCATAGACTTTGTGCACGTTTTTTCTCAACGCCACTTTTGGCATTAATCTTTGTCATACATCATTCAAAGTTAGCATAAGCATAGTCCCTATAGCAAAGATGTGTCCCGAAGATTGACGTCATGGTGACGTCATCGACTAATTTATTATAGATTTTTGAATATTTAATTTTTCCCATAGACTTTGTACACAGAAATTTTTAAAAAATTGTCGATTTGCAAAGGGCATTTTTGACTCTTTGCCAGTAATTCATTTACACCAATCTTTGTCTAAGCAAAGACCCTAATTTAAACAACATTGTGTAATGATGACGTTATGATGACGTCATCAGGTGTGTATTTATAGGCAATTAAATTGTGACACTTTTAATATTAAAAAATGCATAAGAAATCAACCGTATGCGTCCGCAGCATTTTGTTGCCAGCAAGTGGTAGAATAGGTTGAGGTTTTTATTTCATTCAGTGTGCGTGAAATCACGTGACCCTTGCTTCCGGTCGAAAAAGGCCCAAACCGGAAGTGGCTTATCATTTGAAAGTGGTAATAGATATAAACTTGCTTTTAACTGTGTTAGTCTCTTGGCTAATAGTATTCTTCAAATCATTCACCGATGACGTCATGCAATCTTCGAGCGCCCTCTAGCGACAGGTTGAAAATTAGCAAAAATGTATTTTGAATAGATGTCTGTGGCGAAGTTTGTCGTAATCGCCTAAATATTGGCGTATATGATGACCTTGACCCCCTTAGAACGTGTAAGAAGTTTTAGGCATATGACGTCATCAGACCGGAAGTTATAATGAAAAGACCTTTTTTCCTTTGAAAATTCATGAAAAATCAACCATGGCAGTTTTTATATTAGTTTTTACTATAATTGTCGATTTAAGGGTAGGTCTAAAACATTTCAAAGCTTCGAGGCAATAAGCGAACTTGAACATGCCTTGCGCACGCTTAAAACTTTAGGTTGACAATACCTCTGCTTTAAAACATGCACAGGACGTCCACAATGTACATGTACATGCACGTACGCTGTACATACGCACATACATCGTATGTCAGTCAGCCCGCAGCGCAGGTGTTGCTGAGGTCAAATCCTGACCACAGTGACCGTTTTAGCCGATTTTCGGCTAACTTTGACAAAACATTTACGTACATTGTACATATGCACATACATCGTATGTCAGTCAGCCTGCAGCGCACGTGTTGCTGAGGTCAAATCCTGATCATAGTGACCGTTTTAGCCGATTTCCGGCTAACTTTGACAGATTTTATGTTCATGCATAGTCAGAGACGTATTATTGATAAAAAAAAATCATCATGCGGAAAAGCCCTATGTTCTGTTGCAAACAGACATAGATCTCTAGTTTTTCTTTCTTCTTCTTCTTCTTTTTGTCGCCTAAATCCCATAGACTTTGTACACGTTTTTTCTCAGTGCCACTTTTGACATTTATCTTTGTCATACATCATTCAAAGTTAGCATAGTCATAGTCCCTATAGCAGAGATGTGCCCCGAAGAGTGACGTCATCGTGACGTCATCGACTAATTTATTATAGATTTTTGAATATTTAATTTTTCCCATAGACTTTGTACACAAACATTTAAACAAAATTGTCGATTTTCAAAGGGCATTCTCGACTCTTTGCCAGTATTACATTTACACCACTCTTTGTCCAAGCAATGACCCTAATTCAAACAACATTGTGGAATGATGACGTCATGATGACGTCATCCTGTGCTAACTTATAGGCAATTAAATTGTGACACTTTTAATATTTAAAAATGCATCAGAAATCAACCGTACGCGTCCGCAGCATTCTGTTGCCAGCAAGTGGTAGAGTAGATTAAGGTCTTCATTTCATTCAGTGTGCGTGCAATCACGTGACCCTTGCTTCCGGTCGAAAAAGGCCCAAACCGGAAGTAGCTTATTATTTGAAAGTGGTAATAGAAATGAACTTGCTTTCAACGGTGTTAGTCTCTTGGCCAATAGTATTCTTCAAATCATCTACCGATGACGTCATGCAATCTTCGAGCGCCCTCTAGCGACAGGTTGAAAATTAGCAAAAATGTATTTTGAATAGATGTCTGTGGCGAAGTTTGTCGGAATCGCCTACATATTGGTGTATATAATGACCTTTACCACCTTAAGACATGTGCGAAGTTTTAGGTGAATGACGTCATCAGACCGGAAGTTATAATGAAAAGACCCTTTTTCATTTGAATATTCCTGAAAAATCAACCATGGCAGTTTTTATATTTGTTTTTACTTTAATTGTTGATTGAAGGGTAGGTCTAAAACATTTCAAAGTTTCGAGGCGATAAGCGAACTCGAACATACCGTGTGCACGCTTAAAACTTCACGTTGACAATACCTCTGCTTCAAAACATGCACAGGACAGGACGTCCACAATGTACATGTACATGTACATGCACGTACGTTGTACATAGGCACATATGTACATCGTATGTCAGTCAGCCTGCAGCGCACGTGTTGCTGAGGTCAAATCCTGTCCACAGTGACCGTTTTAGCCGATTTTTGGCTAACTTTGACAGATTTTATGTTCATGCATGCGCATAGACAGGGACGTATTATAGCACTTTTGGCATTAATCTTTGTCAGATATCATTGAAAGTTGGCATAAGCATAGTCCCTAGAGAGCTGTAAAACATGCACAGGACTTCCACAATGTGTATAGCACATGCACGTACGTTGTACATACGCACATACATCGTATGTCAGTCAGCCCGCAGCGCACGTGTTGCTGAGGTCAAATCATGTCCACAGTGACCGTTTTAGCCGATTTTCGGCTAACTTTGACAGATTTTATGTTCATGCATAGTCAGGGATGGGTATTATTGATAAAAAAAAAATCATAATGCGGAAAAGCCCTATGTTCTGTTGCAAACAGACATAGATCTCTAGTTCTTGTTTGAAACCCTTCTCAGCAAGTGAAACTTCCCAACCAAACCTTCTTTGTAACTTGGGTCATTGCACATTATAAGCAGATAAAGAAAGAAACACGCAGTCCAAATGTGTGTGTGACTACACGCCTCAGCCAAACGGTTTATTCAAAACATTTCTTCAAACTGTTACTCCGGCTACCGTTTTTCAATTGGGACACCGGGTATTATTTCAATTGTGTAGCACCAAATAATTTGTCAATATCCATATCAATATCAGAGTTGGGCACCAGAAGCCCCTGAGCACCACAAGCCCAGAACCATTAATCATTTCAGCCAATGGGCACCAGAAGCCCCTGGGCACCAGAAGCCCAGAACCATCAATCAACGTAAATGCATTTAGTGTGGCTATTAACGAGTGCCACATAAGGCGGAGTGGACACCCGGTCGGGAGACCAGATCAACCTAGGTCATGGCATGTAATGATGAATAACACTTAACAATACACACTCCAAATGCCATAAACAATAAACTATAAATTCCCAGGCACCGTTCGATTCCTTGGTTTGTACTCACAGAAGGAAGAACGGTGCTCCTCCCCTGTTGAACTGACTCAAGGGAGAAGCTGCTACCTGTTACAACTACGATTATAATTAATAACCTTAATGCAATAAACAATAACATATACATTGTGGTTATACTTCCTTTAATTAATGTAGATAATAAGCCACTATAATAACCCAAAATGGGGAAAATCGAGACGCATTCAATTAATCCAGTGTTTGTCCGTTGGAGGCTGAGACAAAAGTGACTGCATGCTCGGTTTGCCGCCAAAATTGCGCAACACGGCTTGGTTTGCCGCCAAATGTGCGTTGCCGCCCATTTCTCATTGGCTGAAAATCACCTCATCCTGAATGGAATGCTGCAAACTTTTCTTGCTTGCGCATTGGCTAGAAATCCCGTGCTCTAATTGGTTTATTCTAGCCGTTAGGTATCGTGTATCCCAGCCGTATGTGTATGGGCTTGTTGCACAAATATGCCATGCAGAGGGACTGCTCGACTATCAGACATCTAAAACAGACCCAGTTGAATCGATATTCCTGCTTATAAACAATTTGATCATTTAAGTGATAAAATTTAATAGTTTCTAAGCACTTTTCTCAAATATTTACACTGTTTACGGTAGGACATGATCAAGAGGCGCACGTGCTGTTACCCTTGAGTGTGGTCAAACATGTTGTCAAAGGGTGTCATTTAAACATTCTTAAAAATTTGAAATTCTTAAATTCTTTTCAAAAATTGTTCACACGAAGCCTGCATTGTAAAATGCATACATAAATTGTGTACATGTATGTGTATTGTGTATGTACCAAGCTAGTTGCCCTTGTACATATGCATTTCAATCACACACATGTAAATAATAATACTTGTGAGGACACCTTTAAACCATTTTATTTACAAAGCAAAAGACAGTTCATTATGGATGATCTTCTTTGTAGATCAGTGTCGATGCTGCCCTTCGTTTGCTGTGCGCCATAATTATTTAATGTATATTCTTCTATACATACTAACATGCTCGAGTGCAAACATATTTACTGGAATTTGTATCCTTGTGGAGACATTCCTTTGTTCTCATGTACTAAAGATTTCGAGTTTGAAAGTGTAGTTTAAAAATGCTCTTATTTTAACCAGAATTAATTTCATTGGCTGAATTTTGGACTTAAAATCCCTTTTCTAAAACTCTTCCATTTGCGACTGATCAATATAGCTTGGAAATTCCTAGTTTATGAGTAAAATATATCTATTTCGTGAAAACCTTGTGGAGACGTATTCATATATAGAAATTGCCATGTGGAGACGTATACAATCTTTTGTTCCCTATTGTACACAGGGCACGGTGTATCAGATCAAGTGTGCAGGTGGGATGCAGTCTGTGTGACGTGGCTAAAGGTTTAAATGTTTAAATTGGGCTGAAATAGATTTGCTAAACGTCTCCAAAATAAACGCAAATCATCGAGGGCCAGCTCCATAAGAATGTACCGTTTATACCTTGGAATGTTCTATACCAACGATTAAATTTCTTTTGAGACTACAATGTAGATCAGCTTCATTCTTATTGGAGATTCGGAAACACTAACTTTAACTTCCCAACCAAGCCCTCTTTGTATCTCGGTGTTGCCCAACATTTTAAATTAAATGCCCCTTTTATCTTAAGTTTTATACTGCTTTGTATTATGAGCACATGTACCATTGGAGCCTTTGGTTTTAGTAGTTTGGTCTTGGGTATTTGATCAAGCATTCAACTTGATCAGGCATTTGTAGCCTCTGAATAAAGGATGGTTCTCCATTTATTTACCCAAACAGTTTGACTATAGTTCTCTCCTTTTTGCTGCGGTTTATTTTTCTTAACCTATATTTCAATGATTGTGTAACATTGTTTTGCATATCTGAAAACAAACCTTTCATTGACAATGATTACCAAAGACATTGGTTATTGCAGATGAGTTGTGATTCATCTTGAGTTTTAACCACTATGGATGGTTACCCAGACCAGTGCTATGGGCCCATGTAACAGACTGCCTATAACATGCACTGGGCCTCTCTGCCACCCACGAAACAAATTAGTGGACAATCTGATTGGCTTTTCTGCAAAACCTTGCGGAAAAGCCTTTGTTTCTGTATTTTTGTTTCTTCTTCATGTTTTCTATCCAAAATCCCATAGACTTTTGACACTTTTTTTTTCTCGCTGGCTTAGACATTGACACGGTGTAAATGTTGTTATCGTCGCCGCTATGCATTTGTTCCGTTATTCAATTTTCTTGCCTTCGAGTAACTATTTCCCTTATTTAGAGCCCTTATTTACATAATTTGCAAGTCTAATCTTTTCAGTCCCCAACCAACCCTGTTTAGGAATCTCTTGTATGCCATTACATAATGTTTTTGCTTGCACCACCCTGGCGTGTGGGAAATTCAAATCAGTTGCGTTCACGCTCCGGACCAACTCACTTCACTTTTCGGTAGCAAACAATTTGTAAGTATTTTTTACTTTAATTTATTTTTTACTTTAATTAACATCATGTTTATTTCTGAACATTTAATTCCCTGTAAGCATTTATCCGTAAACTATATTACTAGCGCCTGGCTGGATAATCATGGATACGTGTGTTTTAGTTCATGCCGAAATACCTAAGATTCCTTAGAGCCAACGCCCTTATTTTATAGGCCTTCACCCCAGTACATGGAAACAGAAAGTACAGATTTTTGGGGATGCCAATTTATTATATAATTTATATGTGAATTATATTTCATTGTGGTATGTTTATTTATTTGCTACTCGCATCATTTTGTACAGCACCCCAGAATGCCGCCGTAAATCCCTGAACACCCAACAACTGTTTAACCCGTATACCTCACTGTGTGCCGATGGTTCCTTACCCGGGGAACGATTGTAAGTTTAATATCAGTGGGTTTCTTTATTTAAATTACTCATTGGATTAAGTGTATTTCATTAAAATGAATTGTTGACTCCTCCGCAAACGAGTATATTGTCGATAAGGTGCTGCCCGTTCACAATTGGTCTAATATTCTCTCTTAATCTATTTATGTAATTGTTTAATCGTGTATTTTGATGTTTATGTGATTGTAATATTTGATATGAATGTTTGTATTTTCCTTTAGCTTTCACCTGCATCAGCGGTATGCAAATAAAATGGGGTCAAGAATTCAAAACAGACTTCCAGTCTCGTTTTGCAGTGGTGCATACAGTGACAAATGTTACGTCCGAAAGACATTTTTGCTCATATTTTTGGCACATTCAATGATTTAAAACTTTCTGCAGTAGTGAAACACCCCACAAAAACATTATGTAGAGCAACAGCAAGCAAGGCAATCATACTTTTCATAATATGGTCATATGTCACACATTGTTTCCCAACCCAGTGATATTACCCATAAAAGGTTATACTCATAAACTTTTTATAAACTGTAATACACCAATCCATGATCTGCCTACATGTACATGCACAAGAGCAGCCCGAAGTACTGAACACCTAGCCACAATCAACAACAATATGCTTGAGGTCAAAGGTGTCTCATAAAAAGCTATTTATAGAAAACCCAGGAATTTCCCATGAGAAATTTTGTTCATGAGGAAACAATTCAACTGTGATGTCATAACGACAGCTGTTGCTGTGCACTTGACTGTGGTAGCGAGGCACTATTCACTATTGGACAATCCGTGTACACAACATACAGTCGTGCTGTTGTAGTAATAGTAGGGTGTGGCTGATACTGCTGACAGACTGCATGCAGGAAATGACTTCAAACTGTACCCATAAACAGGTCTGTTGAACTTGTAGGTAAGTGGACAATGTTAAAGGGAATATACAACATTTGCCTTTGCTGTAATTTTGAGAAATGGATGGATTTTGGGGGTTAGTATTTTACAGCAATTATTGTTACACTGACTTGTTTGATGTTTTGGGTTCGTAGATGCTAGAAAAACCAAGAAAAACAATCATGTTCTTTCAGTCTGGTTCCCTGACGCCATTTAAATTGAAATGGAGCAATTTAAAGACCCATAGTTACATCGTGTGTGAATGTCGACAAGCGACAGATGGCTATTATTTCCCCAGGGAATAAAATTAAGGGAAAACCACCCGGCCCAAGGAATAAAAGGGAAAACTACCTGTTGCTAAAGTTTTGTGACGACCCCTCGTGCGGCCGCGGGATGTAAGAAATGCCAGATCATTATTGGTCAAAAGAGGGTACCAGCAGTTCAAAATCACTATAACGAACAATCACCATTACGAACACTTTCTGTGGATCGGCTATACCGAACATCATCCCTGGCTCCCGGTTTTAATGTAAAAAACATACCGAATATTGTTGTTGAAAACAGTCAACAGATTAACAAAAAAAAAACAACGATTGTACATGTATTAAACACTATTTGGGCACTTTTAATTCCAGAACATTGAATGACCCATAGTTTCATCATGTGTGAATGTCGACGAGCGACAGATCATATTCCCCCAAGGAATTAAAGGGGAAAACCACCCAGCCCAAGGAATTAAAGGGAAAAACCACCCGTTGCTATAAAGTGTCGTGACAACTCCTCGTGCGGCCGCGGGATGTGAGAAATGCCATTTCACTATTGGTCAACAGAGGGTACCAGCAGTTCAAAATCATTATACCAAACCATCGTTATTACGAACACTTTCTGTGGATCCAACAATGTTCGTTATAGTGGCGTTCCACTGTATACTGAACATAAGTCAGTCTATAATTATACAGCATCTTATAGTATGCATATTAGTTGAAAATTTGTTTTTGTTTCCACTCTTGTATGGTACATGTAGAGCCCGACTGAGCAAGATGGCAGAGGGGGGTGTGACCGATCTAGTCTTGGATGAGACTCAGAAGGAACTTCAAGAATGTCCAATCTGTTACACTGAGTACAAGGATCCTAGGATGCTAGACTGCTCAAACAGCTTCTGCCTGAAATGTCTGCAAGAACTCAAACTGACACAAAATAAGGACGTCAAGAGTATTGTCTGTCCGTTGTGTCAAAAGGAAACTGCCCTGACTGAAGCTGGCGTGGACATGCTACCTGGAGGATCAAAGGATGTCAATCAACAGGAACAGACTGAAGGTCAGGGGTTAAAAGTCATGTGTCAGGCATGTGATGAGGAGAACGAAGCTATTTCTCGGTGCGTAGATTGCAAGCATTATCTCTGTCAAGAATGCCTGAAGGCGCACAATCGATTGGCATCACTGAGGGCTCACAAGATTGTAGACTTGACAGAGCTACCTGTTGAGTCCCAAGAAATAACAGAGGAAACTGAACTCAAGAAAGTTCCCAAGTGTCGCAAGCATCCAGATCAAGATCTCTGTCTGTATTGTAACACATGTGACATCCTCATATGCAATGAATGCACAAACATTGACCACAAAGAATCCATGCATTCTTATGAAGGTATCGACGAGGCATTCAATAAATGTAAACAAGAAGTAAAAGAATCCGTATCCAAAACAGAAGAATGCATTCAAAAATTTGTTTCTGCCAACCCCTCTTCAGGTCATTCACGCTACCGACTTGACAAGATGCTGGCAAAAACTTACTCTCAAATTTCACAGAAAGCAGAAAAGGAAATTGCCAAAATCAGAGAGAAAGAAAAACAACTCAAAATGGAGGCCAGGGACATTGCCACTAAGCGAGATAAACAATTTGCATATGCAGAAACGTCTGAGCAGATTCTGGGTAAAGTAAATGAAGTGATGACAACAGCAACGTGCTATGAGATCCTGGAGTCCAAAAAGAAAATGCTGCGGGATTTGAATGAGCAGGTGGAGGTGCATAAGAGTTTGAATATCAAGCATGGGAAGTCATTCCTTGGCTTTAAGGGGAGTAAAGAGGATGGTCAGCTTGGGACTCTACTCTTGGAGGAGAAATGGGAGACGTATAAGGCCTTAACAGACATAAATAGTGCACACCATCTTGCAGCATACTCCACACGTGAAATGGTTGTGGCATGCAGTGATGAACTGCTTACATTGGATCCAGAGGGGAAGGCGATTTCTACAAAGACCTACAAACCTGACCCTGATAATCCAAACGAACCCCATGACCCTAATAACATACAGAAAGCAACAGCTCTAGCCATCAACAAGGATGATCAACTTCTGATCCTAGACAATCCTGCAGTCAAGATCTTCAACAAGGAATACCAGCTCCTTCATCAGTTCCTACCGGGTAAAGAGGCCAGCGTAGACGGCATGCCGACATGCCTGGCAGTGGACAGCAGCAATCTGATAGCAGTGGGTTACATGGACAAGGAACAGATATCTCTACACAACCCAGATGGTTCCCTCGTCAGAACACTGCCTGCTCCAAAGATTGATGTGCATTTGATCTTCAGCAACAAGGAACTTATTTACACCAACATTAAGGAGGGTTTGCTGATGGCTGTTGACTTACATGGCAACAAACTGTTTACTCAAAGTTGTAGTGATCCTTGTGGGCTGTGTTGTGATGATGCAGGTGATATTTACCTTTTGGCCTCAAATAAAATCTGCCATTTCAGTGCAGATGGCAAGTGCATTGCTTCATGGGACTGTCAGGGTAATTCTGATATCGCATACACACCTGCACATAAATTAGCAGTTACACATCGGAGCGTGTACTTTGAGAGAATGTACATGAACATGTATCACTTGGTTTAGAGATATCAACCAAGACATAATTGTTCAAATGATCAAAACAAAAGGCAGGGAATAAAAAATAAACGAATATACAAAAACAGTATCAAGACATTTATATCAACAAAACATCAATGAAAATTATTGATGCTCCCCATGCATCCTTGGAAATGTGAAATGTCCAGAAGCTTTTTGATTACAACTTCACAAACAGGACAGACTTAAAACACTTTGAGCAGGATATGGGATTGTATACATGTACATAGCGTCACCGACACCATGAAGTAACACCCATCTACATACCAGTAAAAACTAGCAATTGCAGAAAACGGCAACTATAGTTGAACGCCTTCTAAAACAACACTTTGCATCAAAACGACAGAGTATTTTCAATTGGGTTTCTCGTTGTGGACACTTGATGAATTGAATTGATTAAATCTGCTGTTTTTCACCCGTTTGTGTATTAAATAAACAAGAAATAAGAGAAAAAAGATGAGTGTTAGTTCGTGAAAAAAAAAAAAGGCTGCGAAACTGTAAATTTTCGTTTTCATGAAGTGACACTCTTCAATGTATTCAACACGAGTAAAGTGCAACTTCAGGTCAGCGCGCGCGTGCTCTTACAACTTGTTACAAGAAGAGTGTTACTTTGTGAAAACGTTTTTGCTTTCCCCTCTTATGAGCAGAGTGCGCGCCATGCATTGCAATGGTAAATGGAACTTGAGTGTTCGAAAATTGTCACTTTTGCGCAAAAGTTGCCATGGATACTTAGCGTAATTATTAAAGTAAAGCTCTTGAAGCTTGGAAACGTCGTGCAATGGTAGGCCTTGATGAATAATGTTTAAAAATTAAAAAAAACCTGAAAATCGAAAAAAAAATATGGTTTAACACGGTAGAGTGGTACTTCGTGGTGTCGGTGACGATAGAAAGTTTACATGTGTTATATTACATTTAGGTTCTTACATACATACATGAACCTTAGTCATATGTGGAAACTTATTTGGAGCCTGTACAGTTGTACATACGTCCATGTGTTGAAATGGAAATGCTAGTTTGATATTTTTCCATTTCCCAAAATGATGAAATTTGTCCCAAACTGATAGCATCGCCTCAGAAATATAACAAATTTTTTTTACATGAGGTGTTCTATGTACATTGTAGGTTGAAAAATAAACTTAATATTTCCAATCAGTCTTGAAAAAAACAAAAACGCATGTGTCGCAAGTTCTTCTCTACTTCTACATGCATTGCTTAAAGATATGGTACAAGTGTAAATACTGATTGTGCAACATTCATTTAGTATCCATATTTCCAGCTCCCAGTACATGTACAGTGCTCTCCACCATTTGTCATGAAAACAGGTGGGCAATTATAGAGAAACCCACACGCCCCGCTCCACGAAGTTTTAACCAATCACAACCATGATTTATGCCATACATAGGTGTGTACAAATTTGTAATGTGCATGCATTCGCATGTATGACATGTGCACGTCTGGCACATGTAATACCGGTATTAAACATATGGGGGTGAAAGATTTGTTGCCCACATACATGGTGGGCGGTGCCAAATAGAATGGTCTATTCATCGAGGGCTATCTCCATGAGACGAAGTATGTACTCCATGTTCTTTACAATAGATCCCATTTTTTTGTTTAAACAAATGAGACCAGCTTTATTCTTATTGGACACTCAGAAACACAAACTTTAGCAAGTTAAACTTCCCAACCAAGCCTTCGTTGTTACTTGGTTCAGTGAAGTTTCTATGCACCTTTCTCAAATATTTAGACTGTTTTGTATTATGAATATGAGTAGAGCAGCTAGGACATGAGAGGCGCACATGCTGTTGCCCTTGTGCGTGGTTGGTGGTAAAGGGTGCCGTTTAAACATTGAAATGATAAACATTCTTAATCCATTTACAATAAATTGAACAAAATGTTGAAACCAAACCCGCATTGTATATGTTTGCTATATTTGCCCTCGTATGTATTTAACACACAATAAATAATACTAAAGGACACCTTTAAACCATTTTATTTACAAAGCAAAAGACAGTCCATTATGAATGATCTTCTTTGTAGATCAGTGTCGATGCTGCCCTTCGTTTGCTGTGCACCATAATTATTTAATGTATATTCTTGTAACTAACATGCTTGAGTGCAAACACTGGTGCAGGCGGCATGCAGCCTGTGTGACGTGGCTAAAGGTTTAAACGTTTAAATTGGGCTGAAATTGATTTGCTTAACGTTTAAAAAATGAATGCAAATCATGGAGGGCCATCTTCATAAGAATATAACGTTATACCTTGGAAGATTCTATACAAACGATTACATTTCTTTTGAGACTACAATGTAGATCAGCTTCATTCTTATAAGAGATTCAAAAACACTAACTTTAACTTCCCACCCAAGCCCTCTTTGTATCTTGGTTTTGCCCAACATTTTCAATTAAATGCCCCTTTTATCTTAACTTTTATACTGCTTTGTATTATAAGCACATGTATGCATTGGAGCCAATGGTTTTAGTAGTTTGGTCTTGGGTATTTGATCAAGTATTCAACTTGATCAGGCATTTGTAGCCTGAGAATGAAAATGATGGTTCTCCATTTACTTACCCAGGAACAGTGTGACTAGTTCTCTCCTTCTTGCTGTGGTTTATTTATTTAACCTGCATTTCAATGATTGTGTTACATTGTTTTGCATCACTGAAAACAAACCTTTCATTGACAATGATTACCAAAGACATTGGTTATTGCAGATGAGTTCTGTTTCATCTTGAGTTTTAACCACTATGGATGGTTACCCAGACCAGTGCTATGGGCCCATGTAACAGACTGCCTATAACATGCACTGGGCCTCTCTGCCACACACAAAAAAAATGTGTGGAAAATCTGATTGGCTTTTCCGCAAAACCTTGGGAAATTAAAAGCCTTTGTTGCTGTACTTGTTATTATTTTTTTATCTTCTTCATGTTTTTCTAACCAAATCCCATAGACTTTCTACACATTTTTTTTTTCTTGCCGGCATTGACATTGACACGGTATCAATGTTCTGTCCGAAATGACATTTTGGCTCATATCTTTGGCAAAATACACTCCAATGACTTCAAACTTTCTGCAGTAGTAAAACAACCAACACCAAATATTATGTAGAGCAACTGAAAGCAAGGCATTCATGCTTTTCATGATTCCCAACCCGGTGGAATATAACCCATACAGGTTATCCTCATACACTTTTTATAAACTCCCTCTGCATGCCTACAGTACATGTACATTAGTATGCATAAGAGCAGCCGGGTATAATGTACAAGTACAGGACACCTACTAGGGCCCCATTCCCTAGAGCTGCTTCAGCACAAAATTTGCTTCAGCACAAAAAAACTTGTTTAATATAATCATGTTACCGGTCAAAACTCCATGCGATGTACATTGCTTGTGGCTGGTATTTAGCTGTTGTTTACTTAGCATAACAATCGCATGGAGTTCGGTGGGTAACGTGATTATATTAAGCAACATTTTTGTGCTTAAGCAAATTTTGGGCCTAACCTGGCACTATGAAATTGGGCCTAGCTTGAGGTCAGAGATGTCACATAAAAAGCTATTCATAAAAACCTGGGAATTGTGTTCATGAGGAAATAGTTCAACATTTACAGCGACAGCCGTTGCTGTACACTTGACTGTGGTAGCGAGGCACTATTCAGTAATATTGGACAATGCGTGAACAAAACATACAGTCGTGCTGTTGTAGTATACAAGGGCCTACATGTACAAGAAGGGTGTGGCTGAGTCTGCTGACAGACTGTATGCAGGAAAAAACCTCAAACTGTACCCATAAAACGGCTACATTGTAGGTAAGTGGAGGATGAGCAATAATGTTCATGAGGAAACAGTTCAATTGCGACATCGCAATGAAAGCTGTTACAACTCAGTAAAGTGAACTTGACTGTGGTATAGTGAGGCACTATACAACGTGTACAACACGTACAGTACAGCAGTGAGCACTGTTGTAGTACATGTAGCAGTACATGTAGAGTGTGGCTGATTCTGCTGACAGACTGTATACATAAAGGGGGGAAAAGTTTTGAACTCGACCCATAAAACGGCTACATTGTAGGTAAGTGGAGGATGATAATCAAGCTAGCACAGGAGAAATACAGCACCATGGGACCCTAATGGAATAAGCCAATGTAATTAGCTTTTGGGGCCCTGTATCCCATGCAGACACAATGGATTGTCCTTTGATTCTTTCTGACTGTCCTATCTCTATCTTCTGGCAAACTTAAATTCTTGATCCACAACACTATCTATTGGACAATCCGTGTACACAACATACAGTTGTGCTGTTGTAGTAATAGTAGGGTGTGGCTGATACTGCTGACAGACTGCATGCAGGAAACGACTTCAAACTGTACCCATAAACAGGCCTGTTGAACTTGTAGGTAGGTGGACGATGTTATGGGAATATACATTTGCCTTTGCTGTAATTTTCAGAAATGGATGGATTTTGGGAGTTAGTGTTTTATAGCAGATATTGTTACATTGACTTGTTTGCTGTTTTGGGTTTGTAGATGCTGGAAAAACCAAGAAAAACAATCATGTTTTTGCAGTCTGGTTCCCTGATGTCACTTAAATTGAAATGGAGCAATTCATAGAGGTCGGGGAATTGTAAGGTCGGGGAACCAGTCTAGAAGGCTTGGACCCGTTCATAGATGTGTGATCGATTGCAAACAATATTCAGACTAAACATGGTATCTGGGCAGTAATTGATTTTTCTTCCAATTTGAAATTGATACAAAAATACCACTATTCTTGAAAATGTCAGCACACCAGGTGCCATGATTTTACAGGATGCTTTGGACTGTCATTCACTAACAGTCTAGTAAGGTATTTCATAATAATTTGGATGTTTTGTTTTTTGATGTTTGCAAATGTTGTACCGTATGCAGCCGCACAGGGGAATATAATAAATAGCACCATGACAGACTGCATTATGCTCTCATGTATCCAAGAAGAAGAAATCTTGACTGTCATGATGTTCTTTGATTATTTACCTTCATATTGTTATATGCATGTATGTTTTTGATTTCATCTGCATAAAATTGAAGTGATTTAAATACATATTTACATCTACATGTATGCAAACTGTTAGTGAACTACAGTGGAACGCCGTTATACCGAACACCGCTATACCAAACATTCGGCTATACCGAACATCATCCTTGGCTCCCGGTTTTAATGTACAACATCTACCGAGCATTGTTGTTGAAAAAAGTCAATAGATTAACAAAAAATCTACCGGTTGTACATGAAACACTATTTGGACCCCTTTTAATTCCCGAACATCGAACGACCCATAGTAACATTGTGTGTGAATGTCGACAAGCGACAGATGGCTATTATTTCCCCAAGGAATAAAATTAAGGGAAAACCACCCGGCCCAAGGAATAAAAGGGAAAACCACCCGTTGCTAAAGTTTAGAGGACTCCTCCTGCGGCTGCGGGATGTGAGAAATGCCAGTTCACTATTGGTCAAAAGAGGGAACCAGCAGTTCAAAATCACTATACCGAACGATCGTCACTATGAACACTTTCTGTGGATCCAACAATGTTCATTGTAACGGTGTTCCACTGTATACTGAACATTAGTCCATCTATATTCATGCAGTATCTTATAGTACATGCATAAGTTGAAAGTTTGTTTTTCTTTCCACTCTTATATGGTACATGTAGAGTACAACTGAGCAAGATGGCAGAGGGAGGTGTGACAGATCTAGTCTTGGATGAGACCCAGAAGGAACTTCAAGAATGTCCTATCTGTTACACTGAGTACAAGGATCCTAGGAAGCTAGACTGCTCACACAGCTTCTGCCTGAAATGTCTGCAAGAACTCAAACTGACACAAAATAAGGACGACAAGAATATCGTCTGTCCGTTGTGTCGAAAGGAAACTGCCCTGACAGAAGCTGGCGTGGACATGCTACCTGGAGGATCAAAGGATGTCAATCAACAGGAACAGACTGAAGGTCAGGGGTTAAAAGTCATGTGTCAGGCATGTGATGAGGCGGAGAACGAAGCTATTTCTCGATGCATGGATTGCAAGCATTATCTCTGTCAAGAATGCCAGAAGGCGCATAATCGATTTGCAGCACTGAAGAGTCACAAGATTGTAGCTTTGACAGAGCTACCTGTTGAGCCCGAAGAAATAACTGAGGATACTGAACTCAAGAAAGTTCCCAAGTGTCGCGAGCACCCAGATCAAGATCTCTGTCTGTATTGTAACACATGTGAAGTCCTCATATGCAATGAATGCACAAACATTGACCACAAAGGATCCATACATTCTCACGTCAGCATCGACCAGGCGGTTAGCAGATGTAAACAAGAAGTACATGAATCCGTAGCTAAAACAGAAGAGTGCATAAAAAAATTCATTTCTGCAACCCCTTCTTCAGGTCATTCACGTTACAGACTTGACAAGATGCTGGTAAAAACGTACTCTCAAATTTCACAGAAAGCAGAAAAGGAAATTGCCAAAATCAGAGAGAAAGAACAACAACTCAAAATGGAGGCCAGGGACATTGCCACTAAACGAGAGAAACAATTTGCATATGCGGTAACGTCTGAGAAGATTCTGGGTAAAGTGAATAAAGTGATGACTACAGCAACGTGCTATGAGATCCTGGAGAACAAAAAGAAAATGCTGCGGGATTTGAATGAGCAGGTGGAGGTGCATAAGAGTTTGGATATCAAGCATGGGAAGTCATTCCTTGGCTTTAAGGAGAGTAAAGAGGATGGTCAGTTTGGGACTCTGCTCTTGGAGGAGAAATGGGAGACAGATGTGGCCTTTTCAGAATATGTGCAAGGTAGAGACTATCGACATATAGCAGCATACTCCACAAGTGAAATTGCTGTGGTACAGAGTGATAAATTGCTAACATTGGGTATAAAAGGGAAGGTGATTTCTACAAAGACCTACAAACCTGACCCTGATAAACCAAACGAACCCCATGACCCTAATGACATACAGAAAGCAACAGCTCTAGCCATCAACAAGGATGATCAACTTCTGATCCTAGACAATCCTGCAGTCAAGATCTTCAACAAGGAATACCAGCTCCTTCATCAGTTCCTACCGGGTAAAGAGGCCGGCGTGGATGGAATGCCGACGTGCCTGGCAGTGGACAGCAGCAATCTGATAGCAGTGGGTTACAAGGACAAGGAACAGATATCTCTACACAACCCAGATGGTTCCCTCGTCAGAACACTGCCTGCTCCAAAGATTGGTACATATTTGAAGTTCAGCAACAAGCGGCTTATTTACACCAAGAGCAATGAGGGTTGGCTGATGGCTGTTGACTTACATGGCAACAAACTGTTTACTCAAAGTTGTAGTGATCCTCGTGGGCTGTGTTGTGATGATGCAGGTGATATTTACCTTTCGGCCTCAGATAAAATCTGCCATTTTAGTGCAGATGGCAAGTGCATTGCTTCATGGGACTGTCGGGGTGGTTCTGATATCACATACACACCTGCACATAAATTAGCAGTTAAATGTACATTACGGAGGAACTGGTACAGTGGGGTTGCTGTGTACATGTGCATGTATCACTTGGTTTAGAGATATCAACCAACATGTAATTGTTCAAACGATCAAAACAAAAGGCAGGGAATAAAAAAAGAAAAAATATACAAAAATGGTATCAAGACATTTTATCTACAAAACACCCATGAAAATTATTGATGCTCCATGCATCCATGGACGTGTGCAATGTACAGAAGCTTTCTGATTGCAACTTCACAAACAGGACAGACTTGAACACTTTGAGCAGATATGGGATTGTATACATGTACATAGAAAGATTACATGTGTTATATCACATTCAGTATCTTACACATGTACATCAACCGTAGTCATATGTGCAAACATATTTGGAGCTTGTACAGTTGTACATACATCCATGTTTTTTTAAAATGGAAGCGCTAGTTTGATTTTTTTTCTAAACTTCCCATTTCCCAAAATGACAAAATTTGTCCCAAACTGATAACATCGCCTCAGAAATACAACTATAAATGTTTTACATGAGGTGTTCTATGTACATTGTAGGTTGAATTTTTTTTTTAATATTTCCAATTAGTCTAGAAAAAAAACCGCATGTGTCGCAAGTTCTTCTCTACTGAGCTACATGTATTGCTTAAAGATATGGTACAAGTGTAAATACTGATCAGGCAACATTCATTTATATTTCCAGCTACCAGTACATGTACCATACTCCACCATTTGTCATGAAAACAGATGGGAAATTATAGACAAATCCACACGCCCCACTCCAGGAAGTTTTGATCAATCACAGCCATGATTTATGCCCGACATAGGTGTGTACAAATTTGTCATGTGCATGCATTGGCATGTATGACATGTGTACGTCTGGCACATGTAATACCGGTATTGAACATAGGAGAGGTGAACGATTTGTTGCCCACATACATGGTGGGCGCTGCCAAATAGAATGGTCTGTTCATCGAGGGCTATCTCCATGAGACGAAGTATGTACTCCATGTTCTTTACAATAGATCCCTTTTTTGTTTAAACAATTGAGACCAGCTTTATTCTTATTGGACTTTCAGAAACACAATCTTCAGCAAGATAAACTTCCCAACCAAGCCTTCTTTGTAACTTAATTGGTTCACTGTAGTTTCTATGCACTTTTCTCAAATATTGAGACTGTTTTGTATTATGAATATGAGTAGAGCAGCTAGGATATGAGAGGCACACATGCTGTTGCCCTTGTGCGTGGTTGGTGGTAAAGGGTTCCATTTAAACATTGAAATGATACACATTCTGAATCCATTTACAATTAATTTTCAAAAATGTTTAAACCAAACCCGCATTGTATATGTTTGCTGTATCTGCCCTCGTATGCATTTCACACACAAATAAACAATACTAAAGGACACCTTTAAACCATTTTATTTCCAAAGCAAAAGACAGTCCATTATGAATGATCTTCTTTGTAGATCAGTGTCGATGCTGCCCTTCGTTTGCTGTGCACCATAATTATTTAATGTATATTCTTGTAACTAACATGCTTGAGTGCAAACACTGGTGCAGGTGGCATGCAGCCTGTGTGTCGTGGCTAAAAGTTTAAACGTTTAAATTGGGCTGAAATAGATTTGCTAAACGTTTCCAAAATAAATGCAAATCATGGAGGGCCAGCTCCAGCTCCATAAGAATGTACCATTATACCTTGGAATGTCCTATACAAACGGTTAAATTTCTTCAGACTACAATGTAGATCAGCTTCATTCTTATTGGATTCAGAAACACTATTGGGAAACACTAACTTTAACTTCCCAACCAAGCCCTTCTCTGTATCTTGGTTTTGCCAAACATTTTAAATTAAATGCCCCTTTTATCTTATACTGCTTTGTATTATGAGCACATGTATGCATTGGAGCCTTTGGTTTTAGTAGCTTGCTCTTGGGTATTTGATCAAGCATTCAATTTGGTATTTTGTAGCCTCAGAATAAATGATGGTTCTCCATTTATTTATCCCAACAGTTTGACTGAGTTACATGTGTATGTTGAAAAAATATTCATGTCTTTAATAATCATAACAATCCTAATCTTTGGTCTAAGGGGTCCAAAAAAGTGACAGGTTTCTGAGAAGATCGCCAGCTTAAATAAAATACCAAGTTTTAAGTTGATATGACAAGTCTTGTTTGTGCTATGGTGGGAAAACTATTGCTATTGTTTTAACCATAATGACCTTTGCCTTTGATTTATGGGGTCTAAACTCGTTAAGCTTCATTAAGCTGTGTTCAGGCCATGACTTTGCTTAAGTTACGCTGTGTAATGCTGATGCGCGCAGCCATACAAGTGAAAGTACTGTACGATGCTGACACAAGCTTGCATGGCAAAAGCGTAATCAGGTACATTGGCTGAATGGGTTATATGCTGGCGTGGTGTACATTCTTACATTGGCGTGTATTGTTTACATTTACGTACATTACTTACATTGGCGTGTATTGTTTACATTTACATACATTACTTACATTGGCGTGTATTACTTACATTGGCATGTATTGTTTACATTTACATACTTTACTTACATTGGCATGTATTATTTACATTGGCATGTATTGTTTATTTTGGCGTAGATGTATTGTTTACATTGTTGTACATTACTTACATTGGCGCGCATTGTCTACATTGGCGTAGATGTATTGTTTACATTGCTGTACATTACTTACATTGGCGCGCTTGTCTACATTGGCGTAGATGCATTGTTTACATTGCTGTACATTACTTACATTGGCGCGCATTGTCTACATTGGCGTAGATGTATTGTTTACATTGCTGTACATTACTTACATTGGCGCGCATTGTCTACATTGGCGTAGATGTATTGTTTACATTGCTGTACATTACTTACATTGGCGCGCATTGTCTACATTGGCGTAGATGCATTGTTTACATTGCTGTACATTACTTAGATTGGCGCGCATTGTCTACATTGGCGTAGATGCATTGTTTACATTGCTGTACATTACTTACATTGGCGCGCATTGTCTACATTGGCGTAGATGTATTGTTTACATTGCTGTACATTACTTACATTGGCGCGCTTGTCTACATTGGCGTAGATGTATTGTTTACATTGCTGTACATTACTTACATTGGCGCGCATTGTCTACATTGGCGTAGATGTATTGTTTACATTGCTGTACATTACTTACATTGGCGCGCATTGTCTACATTGGCGTAGATGTATTGTTTACATTGCTGTACATTACTTACATTGGCGCGCATTGTCTACATTGGCGTAGATGCATTGTTTACATTGCTGTACATTGCTTACATTGGCGCGCATTGTCTACATTGGCGTAGATGCATTGTTTACATTGCTGTACATTACTTACATTGGCGCGCATTGTCTACATTGGCGTAGATGTATTGTTTACATTGCTGTACATTACTTACATTGGCGGGCATAGTCTACATTGGCGTAGATGCATTGTTTACATTGCTGTACATTACTTACATTGGCGCGCATTGTCTACATTGTCGTAGATGCATTGCTTACATAGCTGTACATTACTTACATTGGCGCGCATTGTCTACATTGGCGTAGATGTATTGTTTACATTGCTGTACATTACTAACATTGGCACGCGTTGTTTACATTGGCGTGCAATTTTTACATTGGTGTGTATTACTTACATTGGTGTGTATTGTTTACATTATTGTACATTGTTGATGCTGTGCGCGTTGCTGCTTATATGAGTAGTGGCCGGGTTGTCTCCCAACTATAATTTAGTGACCCTGGTAATAGATCAGCCCAATTAGATCCCAATTATAACTGTATATTTCTTGATTATATAATAAATTATAGTCATACTTGTTGTGCCGACAATCCTGTTGTCAAGGTGTATTTCTTGCAGGTTTATTGTGCAATTAACAGAGAGTAATCACAATCATCATAATCGGTGGTAAATTTCCTCCAAAACAGACCTGCTCCCTAAGCCTTGACGTCGCTCTGAGTGGTCTCTCGTCTTGGGAAAGTTTGGGCTCGGGAAGATCAGCTGCACTCCAATATGAGTCAGACTTGGTCCCTATCAACTTCGCTTTGGCCGGGGGAGATCCCGGGCGTGCCGCCACAATATTATGGGGACCAAAGACGCTATGGGGACAGCAGAAAGTCCCCATAACTCAGTCCTAATTTCCCTAACAATAACAAACTTCGTGTTTTCCTTTGTCCCTGTATAATGTAACACTCTCCCAAAGACTAAGCACATAAAAGATGAACGATCGAGGTCAACAAAGAATCTGTTGTCCTCCCTTTGTCTGTCAGTCCTCGGATGTATGTAGTGTACGCCTACACGTTTGTTCTTGTTCCGTAACAGTGGGGAGAACACACACGTGTTGTCCCATGGTATTATGGGGGCCAAAGACACTATGGGGACAGCAGAAAGTCCTCATAACTTGGTTCTTATTTCCCTAACAATAAAAACCTTCCCCAAAACGCTGGCACACTGATGGACAAGGCGGAAACAGTATGCCCCTTCGGCTTCACCGGCGGGGCATAAAACCTAATTCAATGATTGCTTTCTTCCAAATGATATCATTTCAAGTGGAATAATTTCATAGGGTATTAGGTACCTTTGAAGAAGGTTTTGCTCATTAAATCAGTTGGTCTGTTTCCGGGTATTCACCAACGTTACCAATACGGTACATCATGAGCTTTAAAATGACAAACTCGGAGCATTCCTACCTTACAATAGGAAGTAAAAACATTTGCTTTTTCTGCAATTTTCAGAAATCGATAGATTTGGGGGTTAGTATTTCATAGCAAATATTGTCACACTAACCTTTTAAAAGTTTTATGTTCATAGATGTTGGGAAAAACCAAGAAAAAACACGCTGCTCTTGTAGCCTGGTTCCCTGACCCTACTTCAGACGAAACAGAGCAATTTACAGACGTCAGGGAATTTTCAGGTCAGGGAACCAGACAGACTGGCTCACACCTGTTCACGGATGTGCAACTGATTGCAAACAAAAAATTTTCAGAAAAGTCAGGTTTTTACCAACGACTTGGTCGGAAGTTTCCCAACAGACAAAAAAACTTCCCCACAACGTACGCATCGTCAACGATAACGTGACATACTTAGGAAATCATCCAATAGTATACCAACGGTTCTTGATAAAACTTTTGGGGTGTGTTTGAGCATGTTACTCGTGTTAACACGGGTATACTCCTGAGCGCACGAACGGCAGGAGTAGACCCGCGGGTTAGCAAGAGTATGCTCTCCGTCATACTGGGAGTACACTCCTGCACCGAGAGGGATACGCTCGCAGCATTTTCCTGCACTCAGGAGTAGCAACAGTAACAGGCTCAAACGCACCCTTGAAGGGTTTTTGTAAGATGAATGGTCACCTCGGCGACCTATAAACTCACCTCCCGGATGTACTTGATGCCTTCCGTGGCAAAGAGGATTTGTTGCATGTCGCTGGGCATGGCTAGCGGCTTACTGGTGGGGATGATTAACGTCCTCTGCCTCGGTGGATAATCCCCTTGATCTGGGGATTAACAGTAATCCACAATAAGTCCAACTCAATCATTGCTATTCTAATAATGAAAATTAACCCTGACCATCCTCAATCCTCCAAAATCCTCAGGGCAGTTTTGGAGGATTTTGGAGGCTTGAGGCTGAATGGCAAAAAGTGTCCGTTCATTTTGGACCCTGCATTGTTTATGTTGCAGCCATGCATTACTGAGCCCTGCATTATGCTCAATATCATCCGCACTGCTTCTGAATGTCATCAGCACTGCCTCAACCCATTAACAGTGAATTTTAAAGGATTGAGTCAATGGTCACTCCGCTATTGATTTTGGAGGATTGAGGATGGTACCTAGCCAAAAGTGTAATACTTATATAGCACTTTCCATTATAACAACGATCTCAAAATGCTTTACAAATATTCTCCGTTCATCAGGCCACGAGACCACATAGCAGCCGATATTATACAAATATTGAGTGGCTCAGCGTAGAATGGGAGGAATATTATCGCGAGGAAAAATCTGGACTTTTCCAGTTCACGAGGCGAAGCCGAGTGAACTGGAAAAGTCCAGATTTTACCAAGCGATAATATTCCTCCCATTTCACAATTTAAAGCCACTCAATATTTGTTTTATATAACTGACATAAAGATCCTTGTCATTTGATATATTTGAACTTTTTGAACTAGGATCTGTATGTCAGTTATATAACAGCGTATATTCGGTCCTCTACCCTCACAGCTACCCGTTCATACTCCTGGGAGGAGAGGCAATTGTAGTTAAGTGTCTTGCCCAAGGGCACAAACACCATGCTCCTGGCAATAGAGTAGTACAGTACTTATGCACAAAGTCCATACAACAGACAGCCAGACTTACCGATTGTTCTGAACTTGGAGACGTCACAGTACAGGATCATGACAGCCAGCACCGTGTGGAGATAAGTGAACTCTTTGGTTTGCAGGGACGTCCATCACCTCGTCTGAACATCCTACGCAGGCCAAAAAAATCAATAAGTAGTCTCAAGAAATAAAACCATTGCCATGACGTCACACTACTGTTAAAAGTGTGGATTCGGAACGACGATTCTTCAGTCGAGTGTGGATTAGGAATATCAAATCCGCATTTTGGACAATGTACTTTAAAACATATATAGCTGAATAGACATCATGAAACTTATGACACGTTAAGGAAAGACTGTTGCATCCTGACGCCACTCTTTTCCTCATATATCATCTCAATAAAGGTTAGTCATAGCAAAAATGTTGAAAAGACATGAATCTGGGACCAAGAAACATTTCCATTTTTGTTCGGAAATACTTCATAGACTCTCCGTAGACTCTGTACACAACCAGTTCGTGGCGTCTGGATACAACATTCTTTCTCACGTTAATTTTATTCTCTTTTTTTTACGCATTCTTAATACATTTTGAACATTTTCAATTTGTTTTCACTTGATTCAAATCCATGTTGACGTGAAAGAGTCTACACCCAAAATAACGTGGTTGCACGGGTGTGGCGACTAGGATTCACATTATTAACAGAAACACGCCACAATGTTAATTTCCTTTACATAAAATTTGATAACATAAGTGCCTCGGATAACTCCCTTGAATGTAAGTTCCGCCGAATTAAATGGCCACGATACAAGATATGCAAGTCTTTTCATCTCCACTCACTGGACTGTTAATGACAATACTTCTGTTGACGCAATGGTTTAAGTCAGAGAATACACTCACAAGTGTGGATTCTTAATTTACGAATTCACTCGGTGCTTCGCGCCTTGTAAATTCTTAAATTACGAATCCACACTTTCTCCTGTATTCTCTGTAACAGAAATGTCTACTATTGAACACAGGTTAAAAGTCATGTGAATTATGGCATCAATTAGGTGATCATTTCGTGAGACTATATTTGAACCATGATTAACTTTTGATATCACAACTAGATCTATCTGTGCTCGAAGTGAGTAATGAAGAACCAGCCATTATTGGGTGACCGTCACCCGATTTCATTTAATGCACTGTTTTTCACTCGTGGAACTGCCTTACATACCTCCTCGTTCTGTGCAGTGTGTGGGCCAAAGAGGAACGTTATGATCCGCCGCACGGCAGACTTAGTGAACAGATGTTTGCAGCATACAATATCCTATGAGTGAAAAAGACAACAAAGTCATTAAGGCCAAAAAAAAAAGTCTCCGGTTTCTGGTATGCGCGCGTCACAGCGGCGTAGCCATCAGTGTTGTAGTCGAGACCGGATAGTCCGAGACCGAGACCAAGACCGAGACCGAGACCTGAAGATTCGAGACCGAGACCGAGACCGAGACCATCCCCTTCAAGGCGGACCGAGACCGAGACCAATGTGGTCCGAGACCGAGACCGAGACCACAAGACACGTTATTATAGTTGAAAAATGTAACCCTTCTATTCACAAAGAATACAGACCAAAATGTTGACCAGTGGCAGTGTTGACAAATTGATACATGACACCTTACTTGAGCAAAAAGTAGTTACACTTAAGAAATATGGGCTTTGACATGTTGTCTGCACCCAATCGTGACAAAAGTAAAAAGTTAAAGGTAGATGTTTCATCTGTTATAGGAACTCGGATCCTAAACTCCACAGTCACCCCTTGGTTTCAGCTATGACTTCTAACGGATATTTAAAGATGCAATTTAAATTTTACATTGTGCCTCTTTTTTCCTAAAATAAATATAGGACTTACATGTAACTTCTAACAAGACTTGTGTACTTGATTTTAAAATATGGGAGCTAGAAAATGTTGAATTAATTTTTAAATTTCTGTCATAGAATGTGGACTTGTACATGTAGACCCACAAGTTGCGAGGTGGTAGCCAGAATGTGCCGGATATGGATTTTTTTTTTTTTTCTGAACGGGATTTTAATTTTTGAGGAATAATGGGGTACTTCAAAATGAGCAGCCAGAAAATGGGGTCTCATCATACACTCTCATGGCAACAGTGAGTGGTAACTGGTAAGAGTGTGTGAGTTCAATGCTGGAAAATCAGGTAGAAAAATTTACTTTTTCTTCAAAATACTGTCCCAAATTGAAGAGAACATTGTGTGGGGTTGAAAATATAACTAATTTGAAGCACCTCATTTATTATTAGAATACAAAATGCAAGTGATTACGCCCACAGGGGTGGGCTAAACTACACAATCCCTGAAAATGGTTGACCCTTATTGCATAAACTGTTACAAGTTCATACTTTGCTTTATGTGTCCGACTCAACAGATAAATGCCGAACTTGCTCCAAATCGTTCAGTGACTGGTATACTGCTGCAGCTTTACATGTACTTTGGGGACTTTCCAACGTGCAGTCGAGTCCGGCAAACCGACCACGATATATAACAAGCTTGATCGATCTACAGGCTAGCAAATGTTTTAACTAACAACGGTACTGAACGAAGTGAACACAAAGTAATTGATCGAGCTGTAAAAGCTACATATTGCCGGTCTCGACCCGAGACCAGCCAAAATATCAAGACCAAAGGGGACCGAGACCAAGACCGAGACCACAGCTTCCAAGACCGAGACCGAGACCAGCAAAAAGTGTTCTCGAGACCGGTCTCGAGACCAAGACCGGTCTCGAGACCTACAACACTGGTAGCCATGCGCGTCGGCAACATGAAAAAGTTTTTTTTTCAATGAAAGATGATGTCTCAAAACTGCCAAACTCACTGGTTTGACTGGAATCTTGCTGCTGCACAATTTTAATGTGTTTTTAGGTTGGGTTATGTGGCCTCTCTGGACTCCCATATTTGCTCTCCAAATTTGAGTAGTTAGCAACAGGTCTAGCAAAAAATTGGCCTACTGCCATTGAAACCAATAACCAATTTTTGCAGCCATGTGGTACATAAAGTTATTTACTTTATCATGAGGAGACGTCATAATAAATGGGATCAAAGTATGATGGTGCAGTTATAAATGCATGGTTTCAAGCTGGTTAGGGGCCTGGTCGATAATAATGTTCGGCTCAGGCTATCCATCTTTTTCATGAGGAAGCCATTCTTGATCGTGTTCCCTGAATGTATTTTATAAATTGTCAACTGTTGATTGGGATGGTGCCAGACTATTTATGCCTTGCAAGCCTCACTTTCAATTTGTCTGAATGCTCATTGGTTTACTGCCATGTACTTACACAACAACAACTCACCAAAGAAAAGAAAATTTGTGACAGCAAAATATCCAAAATAAGGCAAAAAAAAAAAATATTCGGTCTCTGGTCAGACCAAAGTTCCGGAATTGACGCGGCGACGCGGCTTTTTTAAATTTTTTTTTTCAAGCTTGGATTGTACAGACAAGGTGGGGTACTATTTTGCTTTTTTGGTGTCCTCATGTACATTGCTGTTCTCCATAATTTGCCTTGGTGTTTTTGATCATTTGCCTTGGTGCAATTTCCCATTCCTTGGTGCTCTTTGGTAAAAAAAAATTGAGGAGGTGCGGCAATAGAGGGCGCTGTTGGAGCTAACGCGGAACATTTTGAAAAAAAAAAGATTGACGCGCATGATTAAAATCGACGCGCGCTGACCAGAGACCGACTTATTTTTTTTTTTGGCCTAATAGGAACTTTTTGTGCTGAAATAGCTGTAACATTGAGGTTTCTGCCCGGAATGACATCACAGGTTTGCTCATGAATACGGTAATTTGAATTAGCATAAAAACCAAAAAGACATCAAAATACCCTTGGATATGGCAATATGAAATTTAAAATAAGGTTAAATGGAACACAAAGATGCATTTTCAAGGATAGCATTAAATAATTGCTATCTACACTGCATGGGCCCTTTAAGAGTCAAATGGAATGCTGCCCTCAGAACTCACCTGAGCTTCTTTTTGGTTCGGAAGTAATTGTTGAATAGAAACAGGAAGGCTAGTTGCAGGCTGGTGACGGCACAGGAATCGTAGTAACTGCTCAGTGTGAAAGACTGCAGATTGAAAAGAAGAGCAATATTTTTGAAGAGGAGTTTTTATTAAAGTATTCTCGATCAGGGTAATGATTTAGGGGTAAACTTTATAAGCAATTAAGTACCAAAATTGCAAATTTAAAGATTACGCGAGGAGAAATTGCTCAGCGCAAACCACACGCCCGTAATTGGCGCCTATCAACTGCACAGTGCTCGAACAAAGCGCGGGGAATTCAATTCCTCGTGCTCCCATGCATATACAAACACTGTGCAATCGAAATTTCCTGCCGTTTGTTTTGGGCACTGTAACATTGTCACGCAGCAATTTCCACTCGCCTACTCTTTAAATTTGCGACTTTTCCAGCTGCATCATTTTTTATGAACCGTTGTCAATGTTGGACGATGTACAGTCTTTGGTAGCAAACTGGGCATAAAAATGTAGCCAACAAAATTCCCCTAAGGTCTATATCAATGACGTTATCATAAGAGGATCAGATTCAAAATTATGACCCTAAAATGAGTGTGGCCTTTTTTTCGTTTTTTTTGCGGTCTTTATTTGAAAATCTAGTAATAGCAGAAAATCCCATGCTGACAGTGGACGTATTTCACATGAAACCAAAGAAGTTGGGCTTGTGGGTATGATGAAGTGTACTCCAATGGCTTGATTTTTGAGGAGCAAAGTTTTGTACCCTGAAATTCCTTCGTGCAGTAATGTCAGCAAATTCGAAAGGTATAGTTGTGTTGAGCATTTGTATCTTTAACTTACATTTTAATGATCTGCCCAACTATTATCATTGTGTGGTAAACAAGTTTTCGCGCCGGAATGGGCACTCTTTTTGTAAAAAAAAAATCCCTGAAGATGTTTTTGGACTCACCACATTGCAGGATGCAAGGCTCCGGACAAAGGTGAAGTAATCGGTGTCATAGATGGCGCGGTTCCGCAGGAACTGCAGGTTGTTGTCACGTATGACGCGCTGGATCTCCTGCGGTATGCGGTCCATGACATCCCCGGTGTTCCCCCTTGCGTACCAGCGCAGTCAGTTCGCTGAGACGATCGCCGTCGTGGTGCGGGGACAGCTCGGGGGAACTGACTGGTTCCAAACTGGCGGGAAAACACAAAAAGAGCTTTACTCGTCGATATGTAAACGATTTTGAAAACAGGGGCTAAAGGACTCCGTGAGTAAAAATTGCGCAATCCCCCTTGCATGCTGGCAGTTTTTATAGTCAGTTAGTATGGATACTTGTCAGTGTCCCTAACCAAAATGGAAGATTTCTATTATTTTAGCAAAATTGACCTTGACCTTTGACCTGTCGGCCCCAAGAGCAACAGGCTAAATAAGGCTACCAAGAGCAACCCACAAACCAAATTTGAAGACTACAGGAACATGATTGTTTTTCTTGTTTTTTTTCCCAGCATCTACCAACATGAAACTTCAAACAAGTCGGTGTAACAATATTTGCTGTAAAATACTAACCCCCAAAATCCATCCATTTCTGCAAATTACAGAAAAAGCATAAAGATACCAGAAAGCTGATATCTCTTAGATTTTTCAACCCAACATTTTGGAGAAAACGTGTTAAAAGCTGTGGAAAAGAGTACTGTTTACGACAACTTACACGTGAATCTCGCCTTCGCTGTCTTGCTTGAGAAGTGTGATAATGTTGGGTAAAGATAAACAATGAAATTCTTGTATGGAGAAAGCCCTGGTTCTTAAAAGACAAAATCGCCTCATGCCAACAACGTTATTAAAGTATCTTTTCCTGGAATTTGAATGATACAATCCATTCCTTACTCTATGGAAAAACATATACATGTATACAATTAAATTTAACAAAAACAAATCTGACAAAATACAGAAAATATACAACTGGGTAAAATTGAGAATTCTTTATTCAAATCTTGCACTTCTCTGTCTCACGAAGTTGATCATGAAAGAAATTTTTTTTTTAAAATACCAGGAATTTGTAATCAATATTTAAAATATATTTACATATATGTACACACATGTACATTAATGTCACTGACCAGCCCTTCAGTGTAAACTCTGCAGAAACCGTACGCTCAAATGTGTGTATGCATTTGCCTCTTTAAATTGGGCCAGTTTAAACCAGTAGAGACTGGTTTGAACTGGTTCAAACCAGATTTGAACCAGTATTTCATATACCTATACAATACACTAAGTTTACTGTCTGATCTACTAACCATGTCTTGCATTGTATCAAACAGTACTACATCACTTTAAAATGCAACTTTTTTTATTCCTATTTTAGTGAATCAAAGTAGATTTTCACCTATACGGTTTTAAACTTTATAAGGTCTCTAAATATGTACAGTATTTTGCATTAAGGCAGACATTTTTTTCTTGTGCATTTTTATGTTAATTTTTTTATTTTGTCTAGTTATCAAGAAATCCTTTAACAGAGATTCGTTTTTTGTTTGTGTGTTTGTGTTTTATTTCATGACGGATCTTTGCATATCAATCCCCCCTAAAGATAGATATATAACATCGGATGGCTTTGAGGGGGATATAAGAACATATTACATGAGCTATGACGAGGGCAATATTGTTATAGCTAGTGCAATATATTCTTGTATCCCCTGGGAAAAAAGCCATCCAATACTATTATTATTATTTATATCAAGCCGACTTGATCAGCAAGAAATACCTTTCAAGACACTGTCTTTATTTCTGAAATTTCACCGAATATTCTTTGCTTACGGAAGCAAATTTTGCACTACTCGAAGCTGCCATTGTTGCTGTTGGCAACACTGCGCGTATATCATGCTGCGCGCTGCGTCCGTGCCCGCGTGCGATGGTACCGCGCTACGCTCTGTTGACCGGTTGACAACTGTGAGGTTCTACGCTCTTGATTGTGTGGGAACCAGCAAAAATTGTTAAAATGCCCGGACTAGGAAAATATCAAAAAATAATATTGTCCTCATCTGGGTACTTTGACTGACATAATATTGCAGTCATCCGGGGGACTTTTCATGAAAGCATACAATACAGTGATTTATTTTTTATCACTGGAAGCCTGATAAAAATAATAATAATATGGTTTAACTCCTTGGATACAAAATAAATTGCCTCAATATTAACGGAAATAAAACAATGTGTACTATATGATCTTTGAACAGATATATCACTTGAGCGTTCGTATGTGGCGGGTGCATTTTTGGAATAATCTGCTCATTGCACACATAACCTATACAAAATTAAAATTAAAAAAGGCTAGAGTTTTTCTGCTTATCAAGGTTGCTTCACTGACTGCAGAAAATGAAAATAATTCAGGTGGAAACCTTTGCTGCAAGGTCTACTTTTCTGTAGCATAAAAAGCCTAGTTTGTAATGTCATGTCAGTATTTAAATCACAGTTAACATTACAAACAATTCAACAGACAAACAAAAATGCAACTTTTCAACTTATGCTACAAGCATTAAAGCACCACATCCTATGAACTTCAAATTAAATATGATTTCAGATTTTTTCTTATGGAATTTGACAACGGGTTAAAAACAAATGGAATTACTGAACCAATTGAAAAAGTAAAACTTCATAACTACTTGAAACAAAATGTGGAAAACAACAGAAAAGTTGTGCAGATGTTAATTATGTTAAAGTGTGCAAGAACTCAGCTCCCTACATAAATGTCCATATGACCTTAACATTGGCCAGGTGGTTTCATCTTCTCAATTGAAAAAAAACCCACATACAACTGAACAACAAGAATGGTTTTTCCCAACTTATCTCATTGGTCTCTTTATCTCTTTTTTAAAATGAAAAATTGACATTTTGAATTTTTAACAAAAACCTACGGTGTATTTTTTCTTATGTACAAAGTATTTACATATGAAATAGTGAGGCATGATATTTACAGTGATGAAGATGTTATTAAATTTACACAGAAATGGATCTTCAACAGTTAATGTATTGAGCAAAACATCCCCCCCAAAAAAGAAAAAAAATATGAAAATTCATATTGTATTTAATGCTACTTGAAAAATAACTTGCATTGGTGTGTTTAACTATAAGTTATTCATTTTTACTTAAAACACACCGCTACCAAACTATCTACATGGAAGATACCGAAAATGCATATTAATTAGGTATTGCCATAGCGATACCACACGCAGTTGCGATTGGATGAAAGAGTGAAGGTAGTCGCCTGGTATTGGATGCTTTCCTTTTTATGAATATTCATGCCATTCCTGGTACAATCTGATTGGTTCTCATGAAACACATCACGGTCAAAGGTTAATGATATACATGTAATCTATCTGGTTGAAACCAGTCGCAGCTAGTTTCAAATCCAGATCCAAAAATACTATCAAATTCTCTTTTAGCTGAGGCAGTTTTGAAAAGTTGTTAGAGTACTCATGCTGTGTGAACATTTGAAAAATACAACCCGTTTTGTTGTTGTTGTTTTTAAAACTATTTACAGCAGATAATGATGAAACATGTATGTCATAGTCATTTAGTGGAACATGGAACAAAGTAGTGTGTCTGAGTACCAAATGCCACGAGGCTGAAGACCAAGTGGTATGTGGGACACAGACGCACCAAATTTTCCATTTTCCATGAGCGCGAGTGGAAAACGCATTTATCTTCAAGCCAACTTGACGCACAGTAAAGCTGGATTGAACGCGCGTGCACCCTGTACACGAACTTTCCAGCGGTTATCCTTTAACACATGCGTGCAGTAGGTACAGTGCGCATCTAAGAATAGTGCGATACCCAGACTGCGATATGGATAATGTTGTTGCCATGGATCAGCCAATCAGGATCGAGGATTCAAGTTTGCTCGAAGATGCCAGAATTCAGTATTTTTACAGCGAAGAATTTACTCTATGCATAGATTTCAGATTCAAAAATCTTTGTAGAGTTATTTGATCTAAAGTTATTTCAATGCATAAACTATTTGGCAACTTGATTTAATCAAGTGGGGTAATCAATAAACAGAAGAAAAAAAAGAAATTCACTGTAAATCCCGCAGCACTTTTGATAGAAAATTCCTGAATCCTACAAAATCAAACACAGTGCACAAAACAAATGGTCATTTTTGAAACTTCATAGGTGCATCAACCCCTGTGCCAAAAAAATAGCTAGGCCCAACTTTCCTCAATCCTATAAAATCCATCAAAAAAATTCTGATGGAATTTGTAGGACCAGGGAGTGGTAACAGTTAGAAATCGACCAAGTTACTTTGCAAAACATCCAATAAAAAGAATCAGTGTGACAAAAGATTTAAATTCGGGTTTCTATAGAATTTTGTCACTTTTGCATCCCTTGCTAAACTGCTGTGAGACTTTACGGTAAAACGACACACATACCATGCTACAAATTGTGTCCGTATAAAATTATTGCTTCTACAATCTACACTCAAGTCCAAATAAAAAAAAAATAACAAACCAAGTTTGTCCTATATTGGCTTAAAGAGGTTGTGGAATGCTCGAAGACATTTCCGTCATTTTTCGGATATATGTAGCCTAAGGTGTGATGAAATAAAAACGACTATTGTTTCTGTCATAAAATGAGTACAAAAGGTACTTTTGAGAGCTGTTTTTCAAGTCCTGTCATGCCTGTTTCGACCCGAACGTGCAATTTGTGTAAAAGTCGTCGTTGCGGGCAGCAAACAAAACACAGTGAATCGTGACGTAATAAACAGGACTCCCGATGCAGAGTAGCATAAACGAGTCCTGTTTATTACGTCACAATTTACTGTGTTTTGTTTGCTGCCCGCAATGACGACTTTTACAGAAATTGCACGTTCGGGTCGAAACAGGACCTGAAAAATAGCTCTCAAAAGTACCCTTTGTACTCATTTCATGACAGAAATAATAGTTGTTTTTATTTCATCACACCTTAGGCTACATATACCCCAAAAATGACGGAAATGTCTTCGAGCATTCCACAACCTCTTTAAAATAGAAGAAATTGTGCGACACACAAAATTATGGCTTACAGTGACTAGAGTGAATGATTGAACAGGAACAGGAACAGTGGCCAACAGAAATCTGGTAAGCACGGAAAATATCTGCTCAGCAAAAACCGGTTTCTCAAGGTACAAAGCATGCGAGTTATTATAACTTCTGACTTGCTTGGGCAAAACATATTGTTATTTTAAAAGCATTCATTGTCTGCTTTGAACACCCTATGCAAACAGACTTTCTGTGCCAAGTTGTCCTTTCAGTCAAGTGGCTGTTTTCAACAATTGAGAGCTCCCAGCCTAGCTGAAGCAGGATTGACCTAGTGGATAGTGAAGTGAACCATGGATCGCAAGATGGTTTGAACCCTTGTCCAATTTTATGAAATATTTTTGTTGGTTGGCATAAGTTAATTGCAGGGAAAACACTACGAAAACCTATTGTGTGTCTTCCATCCACACAGCGTGATAAATATTCATGTTAGGGTGTGTGATGTGATTGGTTAAAATACGATGTGACAGCAAAAAAAATAAATACGCAACCTGGCCCTTGGTTTCCTACAACCTGACCTGTGATGACCTCTGACTTATGACCCCAGGAGTAAGGAACCATCTTCTATTGGCTACAAATTCTGAAACAGAAAAAAAAAATGCCGTTATGTATCAATGTCGTCCAAGTCGCCCACGTCGTCCTGGACCAGCGTCTTGGAAGACTCGGAGCTGTCTTCATTCCCGTTGACCTCTGACCCCTCCGACGACCCGTTGACCTCCATCTTGGTGTTGGAGTCCCCCTCGACGTACTCCTCCTCCTCTTCGTCGTTCTCAATGTGTTCACCGTCGTCGTCACGCGTGTTGAGCTCATCCAACAGCGCGGTGGCTTCGGCCAGCGTGTCCTGAGCACTCATGGTGCGTTGGAAGGACCGTCCCGTGCTGGATTCGTTGGAGACATTCTGAGGCGTCCAGTAGTGCTCGCTCATCTATGCAAAACAGCAACATAAACAAAATAAGCACATTAATTGTCTAGTCTTGATAGAAAGTTGCTATAGATTTCCTTGTATAAAATAAAAAAATCAGTCAATAGACAGATCGTTGGAAATCACCTACATTTCTTAACTTCTTCTAAATGACAGCAAGTTAGACAGAAATTCACTAGGCGTTTAATACATAAGATTTTTGATAATAATCAGCTAGATTACTTCTGGGAGAAATGCAAATGATCCTATGTGCCTTCAAGTCAGCTTGCTTACAAGTAACCATGGATGAACTACAGTTTATATAATTAGCTTGTCTTTTGACTTGGTTAACTTGGAAAATTAAACCTTTTGACTCGGAGATGTTATACCCGGTTAACTGACCTTTCAAAAAACTACATGTTGAAGAGAAGTTCTTACCTTTTTCTTGAGCCAGTTGACCGCCCACTGCCACCGGACCGAGATGGTCATCAAATACTCTTTGGCCATGGAGCATTTGTTGGACAGATGGACCAGGAATTTGATGCACTGGTAGGACCGACGGCTGTCCGTGGACGTACATTTACGGATGATCTCTGCGAGACAATAACAAGAAATAGTGAGATTAATTTTAAATCAGCCACAATGAAATAGTCAGCAAGGAAGGCAATTAAAGCTGCAGTCCATCATTTACAGCTATCCAAAAAGTAAACTGGCATAATTATTGTTGGAAAACATACTTGGTTGAAAGATAGTAATGGGACTAAACTCCCTGTGAAATTGTTCTTTCTGGCAAGCTGTCAATTTGAAGAAATCAACAAAAGAAGGCCTTTCCAACAGTGCATCTAAAGACGCACATTGGAAATTTCCATAAGTAGTTCGTTTTTTTATTCGGTGAAGCACACACAAGGGTTGACACGACACACACGCGTGCGCCCTAGATAATTCATTGGATCAGTGTGCAACATCGCATAGCTGCAATCAGCTAAGTGAGAACGTGTCTCGGATGCTTAATTCAGGCCCAAAGCAAAACATGATTCAGCAACTTTTGATTTGAAATCGAGATGCTAGAATGTTGTTGTTTCTCTTGAAATATACAGCTGAAGCTGAGCTGAAACTTCATGAGGTTAGTTACAAGTTCAGCACCCTGGAAATGTTTGACTTGTTTTGACTCTTTGACTGAAAGGTATTCATAAACGGGAATAAATATGCATGTGCTTGGCCGGTACTAAACATTAGTCTGTTTAAGACTGGCTGGGGGCCTGGTCACTAATAATATCCCTCCCTTAGGCTCAGGCTATTATCAGCGTCCATTCCCCCAGCCAGTCTTAAACGGACTTGTTTAAAACCAGCCAAGCACACATTCATTTCCTTATTTAAGTATAGCATTAAGAATGACTTTAAACATTTTATTTGTTGGGTAGGTAGTTTGCAATTCACATTCACTCTTGGAGGATGACTGCATCAGAATTATATAATCACAGATATCAGATGTAACAGGCACATGAAAAAGTGGCCCCCACATTGATACAATAACCCATATGTCTTGGCCTCCCAAGATGGCGTCCGAGTGGCTTCACCCTACCCAGTCAGTCTATACAGAGATGTGCTCCTTACCCAAGAGGCCATTGTTGTTGTTGCCTTCCACGGCTAGCTTGAGGCGCTTGCCCTGAAGGGGGTCCTCCATCATCAACAGCTCCAGGAGGAGAATCAAGATGTGCTTCAGCTCATTGGTCGGCGCTGAAGACACCTGACCCTGTATCGACCAATCAGGGCGGAGAGACAATAAATGGAAAAAAAATTATTGACAAAGAGAAAAAATCTGGCACATAATGTAGCGTTTAAAATTTCAATCTCCCTTATATATTTAAAAGGTCCATAAGATCATTTACTTCTGTGCATTTTTTTCTTCACTTTGAGAAAGGCTTTTGTCGTTAAATACATTTCTGGGTCATTGCCAACATTCCTACATAAACGTGCCTTTAATAACATTCAAATACTGCAGACTGTAAAAAATTATCGCTTGGCACAGTAATATCGATCGAGAAATGTTTAGCAAACCGTCTGCACAAACCATCTGCACAAAGCATTTTCTTGACACAAATTAAACACCAATGGCACCCATTCACAGATTCACCGAATTACAAATCAACAACTACGGAAATTTCCAAAAATGTGTCACTTGACGTATCTTTGGAAATGGCCTCCTATTGTTTTCTTCAAAATGACGGCGTGCCAGAAGGAATAATTTCACAGGGAGTCTAGTGCCATTATTATCTTTAAACCAAGTAAGCTTTTCAACAATAACTTTGTCAGTTACTTTTTGTAAAGCTGCAAATGATCTACTCTAAATTTAAAACAATATTCATAAGAATGAGACATAGAATGAAAAATCTGCCCGTCTTAACAAATTTTGAATTACTCGCTGAACGACAATCTCGAAGGTTGCAGATGTCCTCAATCCATCCCCCCCCCCCTGCAAAAAAAAATGTTGGTCTTTCGGAGGATTTAAATAAAAACATACAGTACAAATTAAACATTTGTTGGATCAACTTGAATTGTAAGGAATTGTACTTACGTGGATCATCATCATGACGGACAAGGTGAACGTGTCGTTGCAGTAGCAGCAATGCAGCAGCATGTCCAGCAGTGCAGTGGTTGCATTGGGTACTTCACGGAACATCAGTATGACCTGTGGGGACACATTGGAATTGTTAGCCAAAAACAGGGTTATTAATAAAGATATTGTGTCCTACAGTTGTTGAAACAAACATTCAGTCACAACGCACTTAACTTACTTTTTTGGACGAACCTGATTTAGGGTTACTTTGTTTAAATAGTGATAAAATTTTAACGTGTAGGGCAATGGAAATATTTTTTTTCACTTAGAAGTAGTTTAATACATGGGCTTCAAAGACACAATTAATTTTGGTGCTATACGCAGGTTTTTTTTTAGGAAACATACACGTATTTCATTGTGTTTCTCTTTGTTCCTATAGACTGAACACATCACAAACTTACATTCAAAGATCGTTTTTTAACAAACGATTGAAGAATGAGACTTGTAGAGAGTGACGATCGATGACAAGTCAAAAAATCCTTTGTTCCCTTTGTGTGTCTGTCCTCTATCATAAAGCCGTACAAGAAAACGCAGTTGTGCATTTCTATACGCCCGAGGACAATGCTTTGTGTTTCCCTTTGTCCCTGTAATATTACACTCTCCCATAGACTAAGCACATAACCATACGGTGGACTGTTTTCAACAAATCACCCAACGCTTGAGGACTGAAAGGATCTTTTGTTCTCCCTTCATATGTCTGTCCTCTACTGTAAAGCCACACATGTACACCCGCACAAGTGTGGCCGTTTTTTACACACATTTGTAAAATATTACCCAAACTGACATTGCATATTTATAACTGGACACCTAATGCACCAAGAAAAGCTTTTGTTTTGGTATAGTAAGGGTTCAAATATAGCAGAAACAGTATCTTAAGGTAGACGTAACGGTGTCAAAATCACTCAGTGGAAGTGTGACATTTGGGATTGACACGGTGTTACGTCCACAACCAAGCTATCATTTCTGCTCCATTTGATACCCGACTACCATAACAAAAAGTTTTTCTTTGTGTGTTGCATGTATAGTAAGAAATACATAAAGTGAATTTGGGAAATGCTTTACAGAAATTTCATTGACATGGTGTCAATGTTACGTCTGAATGACATTTTTGCTCATATTTTTTTGGCAAAATACATGCAAATGATTAAAAACTTTCTGCAGTGGTGAAAGTAACACCCAACAATAAATATTATGTAGAGCAACTGCAAGCAAGGCCAGATGTGTCTCATAAAAAGCTATTCATAAAAACCTGGGAATTTCCCATATGAGACATTGTGTTCATGAGGAAACAGTTCAACATTTACGTCACAACGACAGCTGTTGCTGTGCACTTGACTGTGGTAGCCAGGCACTATTCAGTATTGGACAATCCGTGTACACAACATACAGTCGTGCTGTTGTAGTAATAGTAGGGTGTGGCTGATACTGCCGACAGACTGCATGCAGGAAACGACTTCAAACTGTACCCATAAACAGGTCTGTTGAACTTGTAGGTACCGGTGGATGACGTTAAAGGGAATATACAACATTTGCCTTTGCTGTCATTTTCAGAAATGGATGGATTTTGGGGGTTACAGCAAATATTGTTACACTGACTTGTTTGACATTTTGGGTTTGTAGATATTTGAGAAAAAAACAAGAAAAACAATCATTTTCTTGTAGTCTGGTTCCCTGACGCCACTTAAATTGAAATGGAGTTATTTATAGACGTCGGGGAATTGTAAGGTCAGGGAACCAGTTTAGAAGGCGTGTACCCATTCGTAGATGTGTGATCGATTGCAGACAATATTCAGATTAACTAAATATGGTAAATGGGGGGCAGTATTTGAAAAAAGCCAGTTTTTTTCCAACACTAGTCGGCTGACCAGCATTTGAAATTAATACAAAAATACCACTATTCTTGAAAATGTCAGCACACCAGGTGCCATGATTTTACAGGATGCTTTAGACTGTCATTCACTAGCAGTCCAGTAAGGTATTTCATAATAATTTGGAAGTTTTGTTTTTTGATGTTTGCAAATGTCAATGTACCGTATATATTCCCTTTGATGCAGCCACACAGGCGAATATAATAAATAGCACCATGACAGACTGCATATTGTGCTCTCATGTATCCAAGAAGAAGAAATATTGACTGTCATGATGTTCTTTGATTATTTACCTTCGTATTGTTATGTGCATGTATGTTTTTGATTTCATCTGCATAAAATTTAAGTGATTTAAATACATATTTACATCTACATGTATGCCAACTGTTCCATGCGCCAACAAAAGAGGGCGCCCTTTTACCTAGCAACAACGTCCCATGAGCGGGACATCTTACTAATGGAGCTCAATGGGTGGGACACATCAATATCGCTAGCTGACATGTGCCCAACGTTCCTTGTGTAATGCACGTAAACCAGGGGATTTGTACTATGTACATGCAGTGGCCGCCCTTCGCGGCAAAATATTGCAGTCAAGCAAGATGGCTTCGTTTAGTCACCCCCAACTGTACTTTCTTTACCGGCGAGGGGGTACCTAGCTGTGAACAGAGCGGATACGAAAAAAATTCTGCTATACCGAACATCATCCTTGGCTCCTGGTTTTAATGTACAGAACATAACGAACATTGTTGTTGAAAACCGTCAACAGATTAAAAAAAAAATCTACCGGTTGAACATGTATTAAACACTACTTGGGCCACTATTAATTCCCGAACATCGAGCAACCCATACATCATGTTTGAATGTCAAAGAGCTATAGATGGCTATAATTCCCCAAGGACTATATTTATACAGTATCTTATAGTATGCAGAAGTTGAAAGTTTGTTTTTCTTTCCACTCTTATATGGTTCATATAGAGTACAACTGAGCAAGATGGCAGAGGGAGGTGTGACCGATCTAGTCTTGGATGAGACTCAGAAGGAACTTCAAGAATGTCCTATCTGTTACACTGAGTACAAGGATCCTAAGATGCTAGACTGCTCACACAGCTTCTGCCTGAAATGTCTACAAGAACTCAAACTGACACAAAATAAGGACAAGAATATTGTCTGCCCGTTGTGTCGAAAGGAAACTGCCCTGACTGAAGCTGGCGTGCACATGCTACCTGGAGGATCAAAGGATGTCAATCAACAGGAACAGACTGAAGGTCAGGGGTTAAAAGACATGTGTCAGGCATGTGATGAGGAAAATGAAGCCATTTCTCGATGCATGGATTGCAAGCATTATCTCTGTCAAGAATGCCTAATGGCACACAATCGAATGGCAGTAATGATGAAAGCTCACAAGATTGTAGCTTTGACAGAGCTACCTGGTGAGTCCCAAGAAATAACTGACACTGAACTCAAGAAAGTTCCCAAGTGTCTCAAGCATCCAGATCAAGACCTCTGTCTGTATTGTAACTCATGTGAAGTTCTCATATGCAATGAATGCACAAACTTTGACCACAAAGAATCCATACATTCTCACGTCAGCATCGACCAAGCGGTTAGCAGATGTAAACAAGAAGTACATGAATCCATATCTAAAACAGAAGAATGCATTCAACAATTCATTTCTGCCAACCCCTCTTCAGGCCATTCACGTTACAGACTTGACAAGATGCTGGCAAAAACTTACTCTCAAATTTCACAGAAAGCAGAAAAGGAAATTGCCAAAATCAGAGATAAAGAAAAACAACTCAAAACGGAGGCAAGGGCCATTGCCATTAAACGAGATACAGAATTTGCATATGCAGAAACGTCTGAGCAGATTCTGGGTGAAGTGAATGAAGTGATGACTACGGCAACGTGCTATGAGATCCTGAAGTCCAAAAAGAAAATGCTTCGGGATTTGAATGTGCAGGTGGAGGTGCATAAGAGTTTGGATATCAAGCATGGGAAGTCATTCCTTGGCTTTAAGGAGAGTGAAGAGGATGGTCAGCCTGGGACACTGCTCCTGGAGGAGAAATGGGAGAGGGATGAGAACTTTCCAAAAGTTGAACTTCGTGAATGGTACTCAGGACATATATGTATAGCAGCATACTACACAAGTGAAATGGTTGTGGTATGCAGTAATAAGCTGCATACATTGGATCCAGAGGGGAAGGTGATTTCTACAAAGACCTACAAACGTGTCCGTGCTAAACCGAAGAAACCCCATGACCCTAATGACATACAGAAAGCAACAGCTCTAGCCATCAACAAGGATGATCAACTTCTGATCCTAGACAATCCTGCAGTCAAGATCTTCAACAAGGAATACCAGCTCCTTCATCAGTTCCTACCGGGGAAAGAGGCCGGCGTGGACGGCACGCCAACGTGCCTGGCAGTGGACAGCAGCAATTTGATAGCAGTGGGTTACAAGGACAAGGAACAGATATCTCTACACAACCCAGATGGTTCCCTCGTCAGAACACTGCCTGCTCCAAAGATTGGTACATATTTGGTCTTTAGCAACAAGCGACTAATGTATGCCATTTGGAGCAAGGAGGGTTTGCTGATGGCTGTTGACTTACATGGCAACAAACTGTTTACTCAAAGTTGTAGTTATCCTCGTGGGCTGTGTTGTGATGATGCAGGTGATATTTACCTTGTGGCCTCACATAAAATTTGCCATTTCAGTGCAGATGGCAAGTGCATTGCTTCATGGGACTGTCCGGATGGTTCTGATATTACATACACACCTGCACATAAATTAGCAGTTGCAAGTACAGATCGGGAGCTTGATCTTGTGTACATGTACATGCATCACTTGGTTTAGAGATATCAACCAACACATAATTGTTAAAGGGAATATACATCATTTGCTTTTGCTGTAATTTTCAGAAATGGATGGAATTGGGGGGTTGGAAATATACAGCAAATATAGTTACACTGACTTTTTGGAGGTTTTGGGTTCGAAAATGCTATAAAAACCAAGAAAAACGATCATTTTCCTGTAGTCTGGTTCCCTGACTCCATATAAGAAGAAACAGAGCAGTTTACATACATTGGGGAATTGTAAGGTCAGGGAACCAGTCTAGCTGGCTCGTACCCGTTCATAGGTTTGTAATCGATTGCAAACAAGTGCAATGGTCAATTCGGGCCAGTATTTGAAAAAAAGGGAGT